TTACTTGTCAGCCACTTAATGTGATAAAAATTCACCTTGACTAAAGTTTTCCAACAAGTGATCAAAGTTTACAAACTTTTTCGTCCCACGGTGAACAAGATGAACGCTTTTGACACTTACGGAAGTCACGTGATAACTTTGATAAAAGGTAGACAGTGCGTTTGATGTCAAATTCAAAGCCAATGACACAAATATTAATGATGATTCATAATTTAGATCTAGAAATTTCAAATATAATAGCTTTTTGAAACAGATTGGGGTCACAGCAGTTAATTGCTACGCTGCATAAGTTTCTTTGTGGTAGCAGCGTTAGACAAACTATTCACGAGTGATGTCTACAATACGTCATTTAGTAAAGCCAAAAATTAAATTAGGCCACAAGCACACAAAATTATAGTAAAATACTGCGCCATTTCAAATTTATATATATTTTATTGGTATTTCTTTTCCTTAGCGATGTAATTTTTGAATCAAGGAAAAAAATAAGATGCATTCAAAATAACCATTCAATAGGCCTATTTGATTGTATATTTTGCTTTGATTTTTTGTATGCTTTGAACTATAAAAAAAAATTCAAATTTTGAGGAGACATATTATAAAGCAGTAATATTCTAAGACAGTGTCATTAAGAATGAAAAGAACAATCCTTCCTTCATAATATAATGCTGAGTCATTGAGTATTCTCATATAACAAGTCCATGGCTCCTGTTCCATTTGGAAGACAAAAATGCATGTAAAATGTGTTACTAAAGCTGTCACCATAGGGAAAAGTATACATTTCAGATGTAATATCACAAAGATTTGTTCTTTGTTTCAACAGCTCGATACATAAAATCATCTGTTGTCACCTTTTAGAGCCACAGATGCACCGCACCTTAGGGTGGTTGATTTTAGTCTCGAATATATGTAAATAGTCTTCAGAAGTCCTAGAAATGTACAATAATAATTCTTCCAAATATACCTCAAACTAGGAATTTCTTTTCTTATTTCTGTAGATGTCTTTTCTATATGGCAGTGTCTCGAGGAAAGACGACTTGTCTTTTTAACTTTCAAACACAGATAATTCTGGACACACATGAATTTGAAGGCTCAAATTTCAACGGTGAGAAGTGAACACTATTACTGATTAATCTAAGCTAGTTTCTGGGACAAATGTGCGATTGGTAAAAAAATTGTTGCACCTGCCTTTTTAGGTTAAAACACACACAAAAATTTGGTGAAATATTTAATTTCATGAAGCACAAATTTCACTGAAAGCTGACATTTCCCAAGTGAAATATTACATGATTATTTGACAATGTGAAAAAAGAAACTAAATTTATCAATTACAACAGATACCCAGTCAACATAAGACAGAATTGTATCTAGTTATTTAGTGCAGAAGCTAATAAGGTGCAGTTGTACATATATCATTTAGAATTATCACAACATATAACCAATGTATCTAAAACAAAACTTTCTATATTCCCCAACCCTTAACAATAACTCTTCAAAAACATAAATGCAAGGAAATGATCATGTACTAACAGAAAATGCCAGGTAAGATAGATATACAAATACAAACTTATTCTGTCTTCCATATATACCAGTTTGTTAGTGGATTAAAAAAAAAAAAAATAATCACCAAATTATGGCGCCAACGAGCAAAGGGAGGTAAGAGATTCACCTGGGATTTAGTTACTAAGCGTTCCGTTAGAGTCACATTAACAATAACATCCCTGAAATTACCTATACCCAGCTGAGATGACTAGAATAACATGGAAGGTGTTTTTTTTTTTGTCAAAGGGATCGTAAAGAGTCTTTCAAAATTTTTGTGTTTAGGGGACACTGAAAGAACCAATTTGCATCATTCCAAATTTCAGTCAAAAGTCAGTGCTTTGGAATTCTCCTTGAACTAAGCTATCATGGCATTAAATCTGCCCTTAATATTAGCAGAGATAGTAGCATGATAAAATGCTTAGATTTATTAAATTGCAAGAGCCACAGACGTCTGCCTGAAATATGAAATGGTGCAAATTGATGTTTTAAATAATACCAATAAATCTTCAAAGTTATGAAAATATCTTTACACTCCCTTTAAATTTTAATGTTTTGTTATAGACAAAATAACCCCAAACCATTTTGAATCCTTTCCAATTCCATATTACATTGATGCTATTCAATTCAAAACATAATTCTTATGAAATCCCTATTTTAACACTCTCATAAATTTATACTTAAAGTTAACATTGAAAAGCTTTTTACAGTATGTTTATAACAACTGAATGTAACATAACATAAAATAATTATAAATTAACAAAAACAGAGCTCCTAGCTTTGAAATAATTAAAATAAATAATGAAAACATAGCTGAACGTGCATAGATTATATACAAGATACATGACAATGATAACAACCATATTGTGTTCACATGCCAGTCATATTAAAGGGATAGATGCGCCATTTTGGATGGTTGATTTGAGTTTTGAATAGGCCTATATATAAATAGTCTTCTCAAGTACTAGAAATGTACGAAAATCACATAATTTCTTTCAAAATATCTGAAGTAGTGTCTTTCACTGGTCTTATTCTGGACTTTTAGAAGGTTGAAATTTGTGAGCTGTAAACACTTTTACTGATTGGCTTAGCTAAAATAATTCAGTTTGTGAGACTAAAGTATGATTGGTCAAAAAAATGGCTCATCTGTCCTTTTGAGGTGAGTTTCTTATTTCTTAAGTGCATAGAAAAGATTCAATATAACCTTTTAAACAAAAATCATGGTTGTTTTCTCATGAAAATATATTTAACATTAAAAATAGTGACGTTATGAGTTGATAAAATCATTTTCAGTAAATGACCAATCAGATAACCTAAATACTAAAATCATCTCAATTAAGTTTTAGTGAAATCGATGCAAGACATCTTTAAACCACAAAACTACTTTTATCACTTTTGGGAAACATTTGATGTAAAATAAATGAACAAGATTGTTTCTATGGCATGCTGTATCTTAAATGACCCTCTCACCATAGCTATCACAAGTTTCATATGGTTGTGAATAAAAATACCAGTTATAAGTTTCGAACACAACTCTCAGGCAACTGAGTTGTTAGTTGCATTCAAAGTTTCTGTCCATTTTCATAATTCGCCACAATACACAACTAGTACTCGCTATGGTGTAATAGTAGATGATCCTGTTAGAGATGTCTGTCACTTAGATAGTTTCTCAGAATTTTCATCATAGTTATAATGCTACAATATTTACCATTTAAGATATTTTATCCACTATAGAATCTTTTCAGTATATACAATTCATTTTTGTTTAAGTTCATGCATTTCTACTTGACTAGAGACATAATTTCCATTCGAAAGTTTTAGCTCTTTCTAAAGTAGTACTTGGAGATAGAATATTGCCGAAGAAATCAAATATAAGGCAGTTTGAACTATACAAAAGTCTGGTGAAAACAAAATCATATTTTGTGTATTGAAAATATGAATAGCGACTAGAGCAATGGTTTTGATTTGCAAATTAAATTTGCAGCAACTTTTTAACTTTAATATTATATAAAGAAATCCATCTTTGATTAAAATTAATATTAAATGCAATATTGAATTAATTGAAACATAAAATGCATATCAGCTATAAATAATTTTACATGATTGGTGCACAACCTCATTAGAAATAACACAAATAATATATATCAATAACAAAATACTGGATATTCAGATCTTTTATCACTGAACAGTTATCTCCCTTCCAACAAATAACACACTCAAAATTAAACAATGGTTTGATATCAAGAATAGAAATATATTCTTAATGTTGAATAATGGTGTAATGTTAAAATATAATTTAATTAGTTGATACCTACACAGTCAAACACTTAATAAGACATTAATTATTATTAATCAGAAGCCAGACCTATGGACCTTTTAAAACAATTGCCACCATGACGTCTTTAAAGCCTTCTTCTAAAATACTCATTAACTCAAAACTTAACTTAAATCATATTTTACATCATTAAATACGGAATTGATTACACTATATAATCATGCTTTCAGACTTTCACACCTTTCTGAGACCCTTTTTTAGCTTTTGATCGGGTGTGTAGTGATGTCCCATAGGCTATTCATTCATATGACTTCACCACCTTAACAGCAGATGGCTTAATTTCTGTCATGAACCTCACTTTCAATGTCTCAAAAACAAGTCTTGTGATATCTGTCAATTGGAAGGAGAGCTAGACTCAAAAAAGCCAAATATACTTCAAAATTATATCAAGGTGTAATTTGTAAACAAACTCACAAATTTCTTAATACTTTCGAACACAATATCTATCATACTAGGCATTAAAGAAGGCAGGCATGTCTAAAATTTGCCAGAAATGAAATGAAAATTCTCCTTGTGCTTTTTACATTGTGTGCAATTAATGATTACAATACTTTGTGAGGATGAAACCACTATTCATTTTAGCATAACATAGCTCATTTCCTCCACTTTTAGCAAACAAATGTTTAGCAAATGTTTAGTGAAACATGTTGTAAATGAGCTTCATATTTGTATAATATATTACTGACTCACTGAAGAGTTCCAACAGACATTGCCAACAATTCAATGATGTTACCAGATAATAAATTCATAAATGTTGCTTTTATAAAAAGCTGCATTTTAAAAGTTAAATAGACCTTAAAGGGGTTGTAAAGAGGTTTTGTAGCTTTAGATGTTTATTGGGGCCATGGATGGCTTAGTGGAATTGCAAGACTCACAGACCTCTGACTGAAAATTGGAATGGTGCAAATCAATGCTATCAGTGTCCCTGATACACACAAAGAGTTTAGAAAACCTCTTTAAAATCCCTTTCCAACAAGTTAGAAGGATAAATACCAAAATCAACAAATATGATAGCTATAACTAAAACAACACTTGATATATATAGGGATTGATTATATAATAGGCATACTGGATAACATGAAGATACAAGTATCATTTTTAATGATCAACAAAAAATAGATGATGATTTTCAGACCTGTCTTCCTCTGGTTGGTGTGTCGCCATGTCTTCTGGCCCATGTCTGTAATTTTTGTTGTAGTTGTTTACATTGAGGGGGAATAGGTGTACCATCACGCACATGGAGAATGGCTTTCTGGACAAAATTGTATGTGTTATATAAATTGTGTGGAAACTGCATGTTAAACACCCAGTACGAAGCAAACAAGGTCGCAAATGCCATCGTGAACTCCTCAAATTCTTGTAATATTGTCTCCTCGGCAACTAAAAAGAACTCATCACTTTTAAAAATACTTCCTTTTGAAATAAGAATGGGAACAACTTGACCTTGTGTATCAACTTCTTCATCCTCCTTTATTTCTCTAATCATTTCCGTTACATCCTCATTGAAAACTAATGGCAATAAACAGAGAGCTGTGACCATTTCCCAATATTGACGTAAAGCGATATTGTCCTGCTTGGCAGCATCTGCCTGTTTAAATATTGGGGTTGCTTTAGGTAAAGATTTGGCAGACTCGATGATACCAAGGGCATATTTGACACAATATTCTTGTATAGTGTGATCCAAATCAACTTTGGTAATTCGCTGAAATTCAGACAACATCTGTTTGCTGGTAAATAAATATGGATAAGTTTCTATAACTGAGGGGATACCTGGCATTTCCACATCAATAAAAGATCTACGAACATCAAATGTCTCTTCCATAAACTTATTAATTTCTTCTGGAGTCTTACTTTCCCTTGGCATATGTTCTTTTTCTGCTAATTTGATTTTCTTCTCATCATTCTCTCCCTTCTCACTGCTATCCTCTTCTGAGGAACTCGATTTAAAACCAACCAATGCTGTTGATGGTATTGGAACAACTTCTGCTGTCATAGCAGCATGTTTACGTTTATTTTTCTGTGACATATCGTCAAACTCGGGCCACCTACAAAATAAAAAGAAAGAAATCAATGGCAGAATCCAACAAAAAATTTGTTTATAAAGTTTGTCGCACATTTTTGCCCGAATAGCTGTCATTTTAAGACAGAATACAATGTATTTGGTAAGTTTTTTCCTAGTTTGAAATTTCTGAAAAAACCTCTTTTGAAAATTATCATTTAGCAGGATAAAAAAGATATGGTCTCTAAATAAAAGCTGAAGTCTCTATTTCCTGCAATTGAACAGTTTACACTTCCTCATTTCCTGGACATTATTTACATTTACATGTGCAGATATCACCAATGTCATAAGGGATAGTAATGGCTTAAATCTACTCCTAATGTAATTAAGTAGGTTTATGTAATTTTTTCTATATACTTATGTGTTAAAAATCTATTTCTATATTTTTTAGTTGAAACGGGAGGAGAAATCTAGATAAACTGTTAATCAAATGTGCTTACAGCCCTTCAAAACGAAATTATTGTTGTACTCTACAATGACTTCTCCCAAAATAATTTCTGTAGCATCAGCTCGGGCAATAAGAATAAGCAAAAATGTATTCATTATCGACGCATTAATTCGCCAGAATATACCGAAATTGATCTCTAAGAATCAAAAATTTGTGAGAGATCTTATTCAAATCGCTAAATATATTGAGCAGCTGTTCATGGCAACTTCAACCTGAAATGGGCCTAGCTGTGGACATCCTACTTCGGATGTGGGCAAAAATTGCTCGCTTCTCGTAAAGTAAACAAGATGTTTACACCAAATATAAAGCAGACAGTGAAATATCTACCAGTTTTATAAAATCCTTAAATATTTTCTCCGATTTGAAATGATAAATTTCGTGATTTAATGAAAGTATGGCAACAAAAACCACCTGCTTTCAACCATTTATCTACTCACTTTTCGTCTGCAGCCATGTTGGAAATCTCGGGAGCAGTTATTAAATACTTTTACAAACAAGGTTAAAATATCAAGTTATCACTATATCTGCCTACATTTTTAATATAGGTTTTAATAACGATGACTTCTTAAAATTCAAAAGAATCTCGTACGAAATGAATTTACTTTAATCTAGTTTGTTAGACGGTACACCAGCATAAATCATTAGTGTTAAATGGTAATTCTGCTAGGGTAGTCCGAAATATGGTATTTAGCTGTGTAAGAGAGTTCTATAATTTACAGATAAAGACTTTAAGTCTTAAAGGGGTTGGAAAGAGGTTATGTAAATTTTTATGTGTATCGGGGTCACTAATAGAATCAATTTACATCATTCCAGTATTCAGTCAGACGTCTGTGCTTCCTGTAATTCCACTAAAACTGTGTTGACGTTACTAATCGCGAAATTGCTTCATCTCGTAAAGCCAGTCGTGATTAGTAACGTCATCAAACACTAGGTTTTAGGGAAATTGCAGGAACCACAGACGTCTGAAAGAAAAGGTGTCCTCGATAAACATATTTTTAGAAAACCTCTTTACAATTTCTTTTGTACATTATAACTTTAACGCACAAATCTGAATTTCTCATTTTTTAGTAGAATAATTTCATCTGTCCTTATGTCATGCATTAGTAAGCCGAAATGGTGCATTACAATGTCATGTGCAACTCAACATCAAGCCCAGAACCCGATTTATATGAAGTTGACTGAAGGTTGTTTTCGAACTAGGCCGAGGCCCAGAACAGATGAGAGTACAAAATTAAAGTGATACTCGTTGGCAACACGATAGCCAAGATATCCATGGCCTCTCTGGATTAACTAGGCCTACACATCTGGCATGTGGTGGTGAGCGCTGACATTGAGAGATAATTTGTTAATAATAATTAACCATCTTTGAATACAAATTTTGTCGACAATAAAAAACGCACCTTGTAGATGCAGAAAATAAATTAAAGGGATTGTAAAGAGGTTTGATGACGTCACCAATCGCAAAAAAATGTTTTATCACATAAGGCTCTTCGAGTTAAGTGACGTCATCAAACACTAAGTTTTAATGAAATTCGGAGGAACCACAAACGTCAGATTGAAAATTGGAATGGTGCAAATTGATACTATCAGTGTCCTCGATGCACATACTAAAGAGGCTGACAAAAGTCAGTAAGTTTCGGACTACAGTTAAAAACTGCCGGTCTATTATATTCTAAAATGTGGAGAAAACTGATCTATAAAATTCTTCTAAAAGCACAAAAAAATCAGAAAAGGACGATCCTTCAAAAGGAAATCACAATACAGTAACAACTTGTCACTATCGTTCCAAAATGTGCCTTTATTCAAGTTTATTGCACTGAGTTGTCCGTCCTATAGGAAGAGGAATAAAAATGGGACGTTAAACATGATTTTAATATAAGATTCGGCTTGCTTCTGAATCATAGTTTATATAATACAATATATACATGTATGTATCATTTATCAATTATGAATAAATTTCGTTTAAATTATTTAAATTCAATTCAATATTTACGGGACAGATGCACCATTTTGGGGGGTTGATTTGAGTATTGAATATAATTATGTAAATTCTCTTCAGAAGTATGTACGAAAATCGCAATAGATTGGTTATTCGTTATTATTTGGGTGTAGGCCTGTTACCATGTTTACCTATTTGACCTGTTCTAAGGTCTATTGAAGGCCATTCAGGCATCTCGAACTCCTAATTTGAATTGGGAATGCGAATTCAGATTTAAATCTACTTGTAGGATTATTACTTCAACTAACACAAAGGAGGGCGAATATTCAAATTAAACGAGTGGTAGCCCAATAAGCGACTTTTCTGCGCCACAGAGCATACAATCATTTCAGTCGATTAGATTGTGGTTTAAAATATTACTTATAACGATGTAATTTTGGTACAATTTATAGTTAATTCTTGACAAAACTAACTCCTCATAGAACTCACATCAATATAACCAAATTTAACCAAAATCAGATCTAAACCATAGCATCTATATTGCCACGGTCGTAGCTACATCAATGCAAATTATTCAAAGTTTCTGCTGATTTTGCCAAAACAGAAATTTTGTTTTACAAAATTAAATTCAACAGTATTATGATATTCGCTAAATATATCACTTATTTGATGTCTAAGGTAAAGGTGGTTACCGTTTAATGTCTAATGAAAGCGATGCGACATGACCTCAAACACATGAATTTTTGCCCCATAGATACTAGACGACCCTATAATGGCATTGATTGCCCTCGTAAATAATATTGATAGGGGTCGTTTTGGCTAGGACATGGGCAATAACTCTAGAACTTTTAAATTTTCGTTAATCTTAGTTCCTGAATTTTCCCGAACAACATGGTATTTCCGAATAGAAATATATTTTATATTCCGATTCAATACAAATAGAAAATTCGATACCTTATTTTGGTTTGCTTTATGATCGTAATGAATGATTTTTTTAATACTGAATTAAGTCGTTTTAGAGCCAAAATGATAAATTCTGCAAATATTTATTTTATTAGCATTTGTTTGCATCTTATTTTAAAAATAACATATGTCATCCCGATCTTTGAACAATGGCACAATGCTGTTTTAAAAAAATCTTGACTTTTACTGGAAAAGAACCATCCCAAAAATGACCGGGCAAACTAAAGTGGTTGTCTAATGACACACGAAAAAAAAACTAAAGTGAAAGATAAATGGGACTGTCATGATGTTTAGGTTAATTCTATAGTCAATATGGCTTACCTTGTTGTTTTCTACACAATTAACGTTTTGTATTGCGTTGTTTAAACTATAGTAATGTTATTATAACGCCCGAGTGAAATGGTATTTTGAACATTAAGTTGAACAAGTATACAATACATAATATGGACTATACCTGCTATTTAAAAGTGGATGAACTCAAGTTTATAACGGTGCTATTCTAATAATGATTCTCCTGAATATTTCGAGTCAGGCTGACCCATGAACATGTTGTAGCGAATAAGAGGATATCGATTGAGTTGGTCTGAGACTGAGTTATAGATAACTATATGTATGATATTGTATGTATAATAGTCTATACCATCACAGTCCACCTATTTATATGCTCTATTCAAAGAATATACAATAATATACAATGTAATTTTTACAAAATGTTAAGTTACCCCAAACTATCTTCGTTGGAGGTAGCTAGCGGGATGTATAAAATGCTGGAAAAGTTCCAATTGTTTTTTTCAAGATCCAAAATATATGTAAAATAATTGAACATGACATTATAAATATATAAAATATATATAATTATAAAAGGTTTATAAATTCTAGTTAATCAGGTGTAGAATCTTGTATTTTAAATATATTACTAATACGATTATACCGATTTTACTTCCAAAAAAAAATATTATTGGACAAACCTGTTCCATATTTTAATCGGGCCTCAAACCTGGAAAAAATAGCTATATGACTTATATTTATATTAGCAATAAAAGCACTAGATATTATAAGTGACAGCCGTAACACTACTCACGAATCACAAGCATTGCCCGAAGCCAATCGAAAGTATCACATTTTTAAATTTTCTGATAGCCTAATCCAATTTTATTAACATTATCTACAGCCGATAAAAAGTCAAATATGCTGTAAAAACTTAGAAAATTGCCCAATATGTTATTTGATACGTTACTTGCCAAAATCCGCTTTCAAGATCTGAGACGTAAGCAATACTTAATGAACCCCAATTTTTATATTTCGACAAGTAATGTCTCATGCACTATGTATACGTTGAATTGCATCTTACAATTTAAAAAAATCGACACAATACTACTTTTTGTGTATGGAAGCCATAGGAAGTTTATTTGGTACTCTTATTACACTGCGTGCTTCACATTTATACCTTGTGGCTGTTCAGTCATCTGATGGTAAGCCTCTCAACATAGATGTGTCGTATCATTTCGTGAATGATTTTAAACATCCTTTCTAATGGATTGCGTGTAAAAAAAAAAGCAGTGTAATGAAATCATTTATCTGTTGGCTTTTTTAAAGAGATTTTTCCCATAGACATTTTTATTGATTTGAGAACAATTAATAGTTTCATGTCACTTCCATAGACGTCTAGTGAGAATGTACTCGAAATAATGTTTACACATTGTAAACATCAATTGAAATCAGAAGTACACTAACCTAACCTAGGTTCAATCCATTCAACGTAGGTTACAATTAGGCAGAAACATTTCGTTGTTTCTTACTCTGCATTTTCTATGACGATAATTTAGTGCATTTCAATCTTTAAAAGTTGTAATAAAATTGAAGATTATTCAACAAATGTATTATCAACACATTTGATGAATTCATTACAATACTTCAGTTAAGTCAAAGTCATAAGGTCAAAATCTGGTCGAACATCCTCATAGGGCCCTGGCAAACACAAAGAAACACAATTGTTGCCTAACGTAATATGTTTAAAATCCAAAGTTCTACATAAAATGACTAAATGAAAAAAAAAACAGCTTGTTTTGATCACAATAAAGTGGCTCAAGATAACAGAAAGCCAAAAACCCAGAGCACCTCTAGGTCCATCGATCAAACCCACTAACGAATCAGATGCCAATTAACAGTCCTACGTTCGAGTTGAACGAAAGTGTCGTATACGATCCTCTAAATTGCTGATCGAGCTTACGCGTTGGCATCAGGTTTTTGTTTGTACGAAGATAGGACTTGTTCGATGTCATTGAACAACCTCTGCTTTGAACGCGTGGGCAAAGAACGGGAGCTGAAAAAGCACGTGTTTGAATATGATAATACTCAGTCTTTTTCTGAGGTTTCCACCAAAAACTTTCATTGGTGTAACTTCCATGACACTTTATTTTATCCTCGAATCTAGGATTTAGTTCTTTTTTATAACCAAGAGTTCGACACCTCGAGTGGTCTGTCACATATTGATAAGCTGACATTGGTCTACTAGCTCGAGCAACATTTCCAAAAATCTTGAAAGTTTTGTTTAAACGCTTCTTTGTTACCTGTTCGTGTGTCTCTGTCTTAAATTTTGTCTCTTTTGATGTGGATGGTTTAGGCGAGCGTTGAGTCATTGGTGAAGGGGATGTATCCTTAGCAAAGTTTATGGTAGTATTTGTTTCTTTTCGTCTTGGTTGAGGGGATGTACAAGATTCATCCATTTCGGACAATGATTTTCCCGGTTCTATGCTATACACCCCGGAATCACGATCCACAGACTTTGCAGATTTTGATTGTCTCCCTTTCCTTTTGTTACCAACTCCAGGCGGCAAAGATCCCCTTCTAGGTAGTTCTTTGTCTTGTTTTCCAGAATCTTGTTCATCATCCGAATCTTCCAAAAGAGAAAGTAAATCAGCACTAACACGTTTCAACAATTTCTTTGTTTTTTTCCTAACCGCGCCAGGTTTCTTGGATTTGTTTTCTTTGTCACTAGTATCTGATTCCGGAGCAGGAGATAAGTCACGTAAAGGTGTCGGTGGCTTTTCTCGACGATATCGAGGTACTCTGCGCCTTGGCTTAACACCAGGAAATAGCTGGTTGTTCATTACGTCTATTATCTCCACAATATCAAACAGTTCGTGGTCGTATGCCATTTGACGACATGTATATGTATACTGTTCTGTATTACTAACACCATTTTCAGGATTTCTCTGTTAACAAAAAATGAACATTGATAGAAGAAATAACAACACAGGACAATAAAAGATATATATCTTATGGCCGAAGTATGTTGATAGGTGATTAATGGGTATTTTTTTTTTCAAATTGCATTTGACATAGCATAATTTCCAGAAAGGTACATTATGAAGTACAAACAGTTATAAGATCAAACAGTTCATTCCGCCGACAAGGTAGAAACATTCTGAATCTGTCCAGTGGAATCTATTTGTATTGAACATTACCAAAAACTGACATTAACTGAATGTAAACAAACAATACAGACAAATGTTTTCAAATTGTGGACGACTATATGAAGATTTCCAAGATTGTTGAAGATATACAGAAGTCAATAAATAGTGGCTTACTATCAGAAGCTTAGAGTGATTCTGGTCAACTCCATTATCCAGTAAAAACTCTGCCATTTCATCTTGTTCAAATCTAATAGATGCCATCAACAAATTTTCGGAGTACTGAAAGAGAAAATGCTTTCAAATGAAGTACGAAGTCATAGAGAGTCGAGACCAAGCTGGTTACCTTTGTGGTGCTCTTTGACTTTGAGAATCTATGTTACTGATGTTACTGTTGCTTCTACTGTTGATTGTTGTATCATGCTCTTTGCAAGTTTTCTTTCAAAATCAAGGCAGGTGACCCACGATTAACCTACTTACAGTGATAACAGTGGTAACTATTTTCTTATTGGTCATGTTTCGTAAATGTCACCCTCTACCGGAACGTCTAAGAGGATTCTCTCCCAGGAAAATTTTAACAGTCATATTTCGGGGCAAAAACATATAAAAATTATGTTTTTAAATTTGTAAATAATATTGGGGTACAATTGGGGGTGTAAATTATTTTTCTAGGGGAATTCATCTCTCATGTGGTAGTCAATGGAAAGTTTTGACCTCAGACCCCTGAATCCTCTTTACTTATTGTAAGCGATGGGTACCTACGATGGACGTCTAAAGGTAGAAGAAAGATATTTAGAATCCCGAAGCATGGAAACCAGTGAACTAAGATTGTGGACCAGTTTTTAAAACAAATACTTACCCATAACATCTTGATATCAGCATTCTGCCTCTCTAGTAACTCCTCTAATATGTCTATATCTCCCACTTTAACAGCATTATACATTGCCTACAATATAGACATATATATTTCAAATAAACCGGTGTTCTTTTGTACAGAGAAACCAAAGTACATCACCTTGAGCATGTTATTGATCATAATTCTAAAAAAAAGAGGTCAAAAGGTCACAGTCTGTAGTGTCAGTTCTTCCTGTGATCAGCGGGATGGTGCGAAGCTGATACTGTTAAGTGAGACAAAGGTTTTACCTTTTTCTCATCGAGAGTCATTTCATTGTCTTCTTCGTCATCGTCATCTTCCTCTTCCTGGATACGGGTGATTGAAGATTCTTGTAATTTGGGTTGGCGAGGTGATTTTCGTCTTGATGATACTTTACCAGCCATCTAAAACAATGGAATGTTATGTCATTAAAAGAAAAAAATTACACCATTTCATTAAAGGTATACTACCTCTTAGGATGACCAAAAATGTTATAATATGTAATTATACAACAGAATCCCCATATAAAACAATAAATCCATAAAACTAAGTAATAATTCATTAAACCAAGTAAGTTTTAAACATTCAATGAATCGTCTTATATACATAGAGATCCTGCTAAGTCCAATGAATACATAGGCCTACACTTGTTGACCAAGATTTAGACTTTAAATTTTATGTCCATTCTAAGAGGTAGTAATCCATTAAGGTATCCATACATTTACAACACAATTATAACAAATGCTGCAAGACCTAACTCACCATTGTTCCTCTTTTGCAATTTTCGCGGTTGTAAAAGCAACAAAAATGACCTTTTATATCGCCCTCTTATGCAGGCAATAAATTTCCAACTAATATAGTTTGTAATAACAGTGAGTTTATTTGCCCGACACACCTGGCTAGAAAACAACACTTATATTATTCTTATAAACAATTAGTCGTTATACTTGTAATACCAGATTTATTATGTCAGTGGGCAAATAATATGCCAAATGAACTTTAGGAACAATAACCCTGAAAAATCGGACACCTGGAATGATAGTGAACAAAATTAAATCATATTGTAATTTAAGAACTGGATTTCAGGACATTGTTGTTACAACGATCATACTTTCATGCAATAAAACGTGTTACAAGGACCATACTTTCATGCAAGAAAACGTGTTACAATGATCATACTTTCTTGCAATAAAACGTGTTACAATGGTCATACTTTCATGCAATAAAACGTGTTACAATGATCATACTTTCATGCAATAAAACGTGTTACAATGGTCATACTTTCATGCAATAACACGTGTTACAATGGTCATACTTTCATGCAATAAAACGTGTTACAATGGTCATACTTTCATGCAATAAAACATGTTACAATGGTCATACTTTCATGCAATAAAACGTGTTACAATGATCATACTTTCATGCAATAAAACGTACATTTCAGTTTTGAATATTACCTGATTATGTCAATGCCATGCATAAAGATTTGCAAAATCCCTATAAAAACGGGTCAATGGTTTTAAGATTTACGCTATCAAAGTATCCTGTCAAATATTCAATCGTAAGTAGCCTACGTGCAAATTGGTCCAAAGTGTATAACCAAGTCATATACCCAAAATAAAAATGCATACTCACTTTTAGAATACGTTTGCTCGCAATGATTTATCCAACTCAAACTCGATGATATAACACACATATCCTGAAATCTTATATATCTAAGATTTTATCAGTTAGTCGACAAGTCACAAAGATAATCCCTGGGATCAAAATTCTAAGACTGTCAAGTTATAGATTTTTATAGTTGTGTGATTTTGTCTATGTCAGATTCTTTGTGCTGGTCTCTCCATGGTATTAGTAAATCCTATGGCCATTTTCTTCAAACGCAATATCCATTACTCACTATGGTCAAAGTTGCATTATGTAGTAAGTAACTGTATTATTTAGTTTTTCTCTCTATGCTTTGGAAACTATAATATTAAAAGAAATCGACAAGGTTAATAACAAATGGTCAAAAGGTTTACCTTCTTAATGAATGCGGTATTCGACCAGTAAAAACAGGGTCTTTTAGAACGACGCTCACAGTAAAGATAAATTTGACTATGACACAACAGATAAATGTTATTCATATCACAATCTAATTAAATTGTTACAACAACACTTTTCTTTTTTTCTGTAATATTTTTCTCCTCCATTGCAATCTTGCCAATTTTATCTGCAGCTCCGTTCGAATAACGTTATTCATAACCAATCAAAGCGTGTCAAGACCCGTTTCTTGATAACATTAAGAACTGTGGGATATTGAAACCAAGATAGAGCAATATGACAGCCAATATGATATCCCACTTAATTTTAGATATTCCACAATTCAGAAGCAACAAGAAACAAATATCTAGAAAGTTTATCACTGAGTATCAAATGATGACATATTGGATTACAGATCTCCCAAGGTCTCTGAATATATATTGACTTGCTCGGTAGTTTTTATGTTAAGAGAGGTGATCGAATATCAATGTTATTGATCTTTTGTGATTAGACAATAACAATCAATCTTTAGCTTGATTGATTATAGTTGATTGAAATACAAATATTATAAAGAATATAAGCTTGTAATGATAATCCCCACCTCTTGTGACCATATTGTATGTAGTATTTTAAACTAATCTATATTTCTATAAGTTTTTTGGTATCATATTACATACTTTTGGAAATTCCACATTGCCAATAATGTTTGTTTGGTTTGCAATTTACTCTAGCACTTGTGCAAATATTGCCGATATTATGACGTCAGCGGTCACAACTGCTCACGGGAATGTCTGGTAGTGACGACACCTCCAATTTATTTAAACTAGGAAATTAATGAAAAGTCGGGTAACAAATTGTAACTTACAATTCTGAAAAGTAATGTGGACAACTGAATTCTAAATCTATGAGCCGTATAAGCAAATATAGCAACATATAAACAGCAGCACACCTTTAAGATGTTATTTTTTTTTATACTTTTTACAAACACAGTTACCAACCATAGTAATTTTAAAGTGCCTCTCAGTTACTGAGTACCTAGTTAAGGGGTTCGATATCACATTTTCGCGTAGTCATTTATGATAATTTCCATGCTCTTTTTACCTTCTTATTATTTGACTTTGTCGCAGATGCTAAGTTTCTATCTGGATAGCAGTTTAAAATGCTGTGCTTCTAGCTGGTTAACAGTTTAAGATGCTGTGTTGTTATTTAGGTAACAGTAGAGATGCTGTGCTGCTAGCTGGGTAACAGATCACGATGCTGTGCTGCTAGCTGGGTAACAGATGCTTAGTTTCTATCTGGATAACAGTTTAAGAAGGTATGTTGCTTGTTGGGTAACATTTTAAGATGTGTTTTCTAGCTGGGTAACAGTTAAAGATACTGAGAAACAGTTTAATGTGCTGTGTTTCTAGCTGGGTAACAGCTAAAGATTCTGTGTTACTATCTAGGTAACAGTTTAAGATTTTATGCTGCTAGCTGGGTGACAGTTAAAGATGCTATGTTGCTAGTTGGGTAACAGTTTAACATGCTGTGTTGCTATCGATGTAACAGAAGATACTGTGTTTTTAACTTGGGTAACATTTTAAAATGCTGTGTTACTAGCTGAGTTAACAGTTTAAAATGCTGTTGCTAGCTTGGTATGTTTAAAATGCTGTGTTGATGGCTAAGTAACAGTTTAAGATGCCGTGTTGCTAGCTTGGTAACAGCTAAAGATACTGATTGGGTAACAGTTTAAAATGCATTGTTGCTGGCTAGATAACAGTTTAAGGTGCTGTTGCTAGCTGGGTAACAGTTAAAGATACTATGATGCTTGCTGGGTAACAGTTTAACAGACTGTATTGTTATCTGGGTAACTGTTTAAAATGCTGTGTTGCTAACTGAGTAACAGTTTAGGGTGCTGTGTTGCTCGCTGGGTAACAGTTTAGGTTGGTGTGTTGCTAGCTGGGTAACAGTTTCAGATGCTGTTGCTAGCTGGGTAACAGTTTAACATGCTGTGTAACAGTTTAATATAGCTAGCAACTAGCAGGGTAACAGTTTAACATGCTATACCGCCAAGATTGGATCACAATGTAAATGACAAACTATTCTTAATTTCTATCAGTCTATGAAATATCAAGATGTAAGCATTAAGAATCAAATCAACAAAATTAAACTAGATAACAATATATTTATTTCTAAATAATGAATTTCAATATCAAGAAAAACATTTTGCTGATTAAAAAGATTTATAAAGAAATAATCAAATCAATATATATTTAAAGAATTTCATTTTAACATCAAATTAATAATAAATTTTAACAATTTTTATCAAATTTAACTTCATTTTCACAATGTCAAGCTATCAGCCACCCTTCTTGTATCACAGACATTTGTAAATGTGGCCATTTGATTTGACTGTATGTTAGTAATACAGCACAATCATTATCCTGATAGGAAGTCTGTAAACAATAGGCCATATTGTTGACTTTGTTTCTATGAAGCGATCTGATTGTCTGTATTCACTGGTATACAATTTAACCAAATTGCTGCCTTCATTTATACAAGAAAGGTGGCTGTTGCAGTCATTTAACTTATACACTCCATAAAATCATAAAGAGTGGCATGTAGAGGTTGTTGCCAAAAGGCGACAAAATGCTTCTATAATATATAATGACTCTCTACAGCAAACCTGTCAAATGTAAGCTTAAATAGAGGATGAGTAAATGTGGAAAACTCTTTTAATAAAATGAAAAACATAATACCGGTACTGTAAAAGTTTTACATAAAAATAGCGTCAGATCAATTATAGAAATTCAAATGAAAAGTTATTCTGATTCAAACAGTTAAACAGGGGATTTCAGCACTGTAAGATGAGAGGTGTTTCAAGAAAATTGCACCAATTCCTATAACAATGTGAGTGTGCAACACTAACAATCCTAGCTTATTTTCTTTTTAAGAGTGTCATGTTTTACACTTACAGTTAAAATGGTTTAAATGTTCCTCTGTTCAACAAAACAATTTCCTTTAATAAAAGTTCTATATTTAGGAAACCAAATAATTATATATGAGCTCAATTCTGAAGATCTAAAAAAAGCTTGTTTAGCAATCTTCTCTAAACTAAGGTAATAATGGCTTCAAATAACTTTTTCATAAAAGAACATAAGTAATCTATTAAAGAATAAAGCTGCAAGTGACACAACTCCATTTGAAATTGTGTAATCTAAAGATGATTAAAGAATAAAACAAAGAATCATATTATATATATATATATACAATGGTAAATATAGATATTTTAAGGCAAGGATATTTGTCCTTTAATATTGCAAAGGGATATGATAAAAAAACAAATAACAATAAATATTGAAATGAAATATACAGGTGATCTACACTTCTACAAAATTTCATTGATAAATACAAACTTTATACAGTTCATAGAAATTCTTCAAACTTTTCAAAATGTATCAAAAACCATATAGCTTTGAAATACTATGTTCATTTTGTGTCCACTGGTAACTCTTAACTTGCTGAATATTTGAGATATTATCATATCCATCAGTATTGAAATATTTGGGTTGCTGCTGTTTGAGATTGGGTGACATACATTCAAAAAATGGTATTTCAATGTTGACAAGTGGACAAAAAGCCAAGACACGTAATATGTTCTTTAATTGTGTGGGCACATGAATGGTCTTGGTCGCCAACTAGAGCCTTGTTAAGATTTTCACTGACCTCCTGTTTTTCCACATGTATGCATCAAGCAATTGAAAGGAAAATTAATCTGATTGGATGATAACGCTCTGTTTTGTAGACGATAAAACAATCAACGACAAATATCAACCAGTATCACATATTATAAATCCTGTCGACAACACTTGTGGAAGAAGAGGCACATGTGAGATTTTACTCAAGATACAAGACAGCAACATAAATTGACTACCAAGACCGTTCGTGTTTCCTTACATGTATTTGTTGTCATGTCTTTGACTACCGGTACCTTAAAATCATGTGATAAAACTAAAATATGGTTATTATTCAAATCAACATCTTGAATATTTCAGAAGTGTCTATCAACAATGGAACGGTTCTGTCCTGGAAACAAGCTTGTCTTTATCCAACAAATGTCAATACAGTAGGTCAAACTACATTATCCCATCACTAACACTGTATAATATAAACAATAACAAAAACATCAACATGTTTACATATCACTAACACAACAAATATAGATCAAAATAAATAAAAAACAACAAAGTTGTCAGTTTCAGTATACGTCTTAATTCAATTATAGTATTAGAATGGAGTTTTACTTCCAACTTTTAATTGAATTATAGTACTAATAGACTGATGACTTTATATTTTAACTTGGTACCCAATAACTTGTCCTATTTTCAACACTAAAATCTACTCATTTAAAATAGTTAAAAACAAATTTCATCATTGGCCCTCTTGTCAACAATACGTTATAATATTCTCTCCAAAAAATATAAATTTCCAAAAATGAAGTCAACAGCATGACTTAGATTACATATAGGTAATTATTACACATGACTGCTTCATGATGAGACAAGTTTTAAAGAGGTGGTCTGATTGAAAACTATTGACCAAAATCTAGAGAAATGTGTCCCTTAAGATTTAAAAGGCTTTAATCAAAAACATTGTGCCTATTTTAAAACACCAAAAGTATATAAAAAGTTTACGTTAACTTTTAGAAGAACCGTAAGCTTACGTCTTTGGTTGGTGTTAGAAAACAAAGGTACACAAGCAAATCAAATGTCTCCTACTTATTCTAAGGATTCAACTAAAAATGCCAATGCCAAATTCAATTATAACTTTTTACTTTAAAAATTTAGTACGGTACACTCCGTTTTATAATCACCCCTTTCAAAATAAGGTTTATCAAGTAAATAGCTTATTTTTTGATTTTTAGTTATGAAAATTCTACATACAGCCCCTTTAAGCTAAAATTTGTATTTGAAAATTCATTGAACGCTATTCAGCCTTGCATACAAATTTAAAATTAATAACATTTTCAATCTGTCACAGTTGAAATAACTTAAAATAATATTATTGATAAGAGGAATAATAAATTTCAACAAGCAATTGTATCATATCAGATGAAAATGAACAAGTTTGGCCACAGTTACTGTTAATAAAATAAGAAAACTTGATCAAATTTGTTTTGTTGCAAGAAAAGGATGGGATGAAACAATCACATTTATGAGAGTAGGTAACTAGACACCATCCCTTATAACTTTATTATCATTATCTCCCACAAACACAGTCTGTTCACTTTCACATTTTAATTGTATTTGAGACTCTTGATACACAGTATCTTGTTTCACTTGATCATAGTTTATCGTGTTATGTTCCATTTTATTTTCATCACTTTGTTGCAAATTTTCTTTCATCACCTGATGAGAATTTTCTATAGTTTTTTCAAAATTTGACTCGTTTTCTTTCACACTTGAGAGAGATTTTGTAAGTTCATCTTCACTTTTTGGACTTTCAAATAGAACTCTCTTTTCCTTTGAATGTGTTTTGATGTCAACATCTTTTTCTTTATGTTTTTCAGTTGATTTGATTCCGTTTGTAGATTTGAAGTGATGGCTGTGTTTTTCTGAGGATTCTTGATGTTTCGGAGAGTGTGTTTCTGTACCCATTGTGTCAAATTTTTTCACAATTTTCAGAACTGATTCACTTTTAATTTCAAGTCGTTTGGGTACAAGATCTTCGTCCAAGACCTCAACTTTGATTGAATTAGGAATATTAATCTGAGTAGAATTGTTATTAGAAACATTGAGTTTAAGATCGCTATTACTGTCTTTCACACTCAATTCCTCCGATTCAGAAACTGAAGTAGAACTGGGTGTTTGATTAGGATAATATTGTTTGAGGCGAACATGCCAAGCGATACTGGCTACTGCTGTTAATGATTTAAACTGATGTATGACGTTACGTGGAATAAAATATATATCATCATCTCTGAGTTGTATACGAGCATATCTTATACCATCTCTATGTAACTGGTTTAACTTGGCATCTTCAACCCATGTTATACACTAAAAGGCAAAAGCATTTCATTTTAAAATCAATTTTTTGTCTCTTCAAGACATCTTCCTCTGAATTCATTGCTTTGAGTTCTTTTAATAAATTTCACCAATAAAAGATCAACTGGTGGAAAGAAGAACTATAAACTGAGCAACAAATACAGCCCTAACAGTAGTGTCTTTTATCAATTTAACATAATTAAGTTATGAACAATTTTATCTACAATAATTTCTACTTTAGTTGAGGCATACCTATGGGTAGTAAAACTATGTCAGAAATCACAGTATTTGTTGATAGTTATTTATAATAATTGTATTACAAACCTGTGAAACAGGTGGTTCATGTAAATCTAATTGTAATTTACTGGCCAATTCTAGAAAATCACCAGCATGGAAACATATTACATCTTTTACTATCCTCTTCTCACCAACCCTACAAATATAACACAAAATATTTTAATTATTTCATACACCTCAATTCTTTGCTACAAATTCAAGATGCATACCCAACATTGTTTAATGAAAAAATAAGGAACCATGCATAATTATGGCTGATGAACAATCAACTTATTCTAAAAGTTAAAGATTATTGCAAAGCTTGGTAGTAGAGTCATAATAGAGTTATATTATATTTGTCCAATAAGGACGCAAAATAATTTCATATCAATACTTGCTTATCATGCTTATCAAAGAACTAAGCTAATAGCCTTATTGGTGTATAAACGTGACAGACTGATAGTTTATTATTCTATACAAGCTGATTTCTTATTTTCCTTTTGAGATGTATTCATACGCTATGTACTACAGTTTATCAAAAATAAATAAGTGCAGTTTGCATAACTGGTTAAAAGAAGAAATGATAATAGAATTGTGAATATTTAAATATTACTGTTATCTTACTTGTTGCCAACATGTACAGATTTAAGAACACCCACAGCAGCTGTTGTTAACCTATCAAATCCATGTCCAACATGATCAGCATGACATTTAGTTCTATCTTCTATTAATACTTCTCTTGGTTCACTGGCTCGTGATACATGACTTAATCTCATCAACTCTGTTAATCCTCTGTAGATTGGAAGATAAAAGAGAAAATCAACATATATTACCGGTTATTCCATATCCCAATAAACTGATAAAACAAGAATATATATGATTTATCCTTTTTCAATTATGTTGTTCCCCTCAACTCTTATTCTTACATCAAGGCACAGTAGACATCTATATATTGTTAAGTTATCAAAGTTATAAATGAAAAGCTTTCCCTTTTCTTTGGGCTTTTGCAAAAGTCAATAAAACTTACTTTTTTCGCTTAAATGGAGATTTAGGTAAATCAGCTGTTGGGACTAGTTGTTCACCAGGTCTTGCCCACAATATTGGTCCATCATTACTTTCTTGTGGATGTATCTTTATAGCTGACATTGGGCCCCAAGGCATTACTGCTTTCAGGAAGGGATTATCTTCCAACATATCAATGAAATCAGGGAAGTAGTCTCCAACCTCTTCATGAACTGTACCAACTAAACTAATCTGTAACAAGGGTCCAGATCTATATGTGCCGTTGGAGTAAGTTTTCTCCACGTTTTCTCTAAACTTCTGCATAGTTGTTGTCTCTATATCAGATTTGCCCAACACATCTGTTTTAACAGTGAGATTGGGATAAGTGTCGGCAAAATAATCAATAAAATCAGGTAGATAAGATGCTGCACCATGAACAATACCCATAACACAATCAGCTACTCCATCTGTTGATTCCCCATAGGACAAGTTCAAAAATTCTTCAGTAAATTCCTTCATTTCTTCTTCATTGAGTACATTTAATTCATCCTGATAGGCATGTGCGACTGTAGCACCACCATTAGTGTATTTTTCAATATGTATAAACTTAGAATACTTGGAGGGAAATGTGAGAGCATTATTAAAACTATCACTCAAAGAAGTCCGATCAGTTTTCAATAATTTAGTATGAAGCATGTCAAAATTTGGATCTGGTTTCAGAGCAATATGGTTAGGTTGGTCTCTTTGATGTGAATGTGATTTGTTGTCAGAAGCTTTATGCTCAGATTTACCTTGGTGATGTTTGTCACTTGATGTTATCCCAGAGTTTGACTTAGATGAATGGGTTTGTGTGGCACATGATACTTGTGATTTAGATTTAGATGAATGAGACACTGTTGATGAGGGACTTATTTTTGGCTCACTATGTTTATGAGAAGGTGAGGGAGAAACTTGCACACCCTTGGATTCAGTTCGTCTGCGCAGGTTCACTTGAACTCCACAATTAGAAACTATGCGTTTTTTACTGGAAGTTTTAGTGGTGGTGATAGTTGAGGTAGTTTTTATTGGTGAGGATTCACACTGCCTTATATTTCCATTCGGAACAACTGGTTCTTTCTTTCCTCCTGGATCAACACTATGCATATTTATCAAGATATTTTGATTCTCTTGTTGTTTCAAACGTTTGAGAGGATCTAGTCTTGAAACATAGGTTCCTTGTGGTCGATATTCCATCAAACTTTCTACAGCAGGCTCAATCTTAACAACTGGCACACTATCCTGTATATCTGGTACTTTCTGATCAGAATTTGAAATACTGACATCTAGATCTTGACATGTTCCTGCAAATATAGAGCAAAATTTCAATTTAAATATCTACAGAATGTCAGAACCAATACTTGTTCTATCCAACCATCACTGGTACATTATGAGATTAAATTAAATTTAGACATCCACTGTCACACATATTAATCTAGCAAAAGTTGCAAGACTTGCATATTCATGCATATTAAGATTAATAATTATTAAAGGTATACTTTGAACTAAAACAAATCCAAGTAAGGCTTAAAAAATCTAACAAAGTTATTTTTACAGATCTGCTAGATAATTGATATACCAGTATCTGCAAAGATTCTGTTGACCACAGATGGCTTTTAACCTGTATATATCAGTTGAAGATGAAAATTAATAAACCCTGTCAAATCATGCAAATGATAAGTCCAGTTAAACTTTCTAATACATCTTAATATTTCTTTACCTGAACTATTCTTTATGAGTTCCTCATCTGAAGATACTTCTGACACTTGAGACAGTTTTATTACATTATTACCAAGAGATGCCAATGATGATGGTGATTTGTTAGCTTTATTGGGTGAAGTGGCCTTTGATCTGGGTGATAACGAGTTACTATTTATCATGAAATCTACATCAAAACTTCTTACAAATCTGTGATCTCTTCCTCCTTCATAGTCATCCACATAACCAGATCTGGACAGGCTTCGATAATCATGCTGAATTCTTCTCCTTTTACCAGATTCTGGACTAATGCAAGGGTCAACATTTAAAGGAGATACATTAGGCGTTATGAGTCTGGGCCGCTTTGGTTCTGGGGACTCACTTTGTTCTGAAAGACTGATACTTTCGTTGGGTGGATTTGTCCGTGGAACCATAGACATTGTATTTTCGGCAGCAACTGGACATTTCAGCCCTGGTAAATTTCGAAATCCATGTTGGTCTCTTTTGATTTCAGAAATCAGTTGTTTAGATGTGTCAGTGCTATCTACGGATGCACAATAGCGCTCCTCAATACTTTCCGTTGTTTTTCTGGCCTCCTTTTGTAATATGTCGAAAATATTTCCTTTATTTTCCTCAAATTTTAACTCAACATTTTCTTCGTCCGCCATCTTCTTTTCGAAACAAAAATGGCCGTTTAGTAGTTCATCAAAAATTGTGTCAGACCTTGTGATTGGTTAAACAATTCAAGGACTATGACATCATTCAAAATTTTATCCAATAGTATTTGTCTTTACTTTTTTTGGTGATTTCCTCTACGCATGCGTAGCAAAATTGTAAACACTTGGCAAACTTTTGAAACCTACCGGTAGATATCCAAATCTAAAACAAATATTTAAAAGTCTTCCAAGCTATTAGAAATGGAAAGCGACACATCAACTGGTTTCAAAACACCACATCTACCAGATGTAAGCGATGATGCTGTCACTGCACATAGTGATGTGTCGGTTACCGGATTTGTCACTAACAAACAATTTCAAAAATCAGTTGAAAATATTGAATATTGTCAATCAAAAATTAAAGACTTGGATATTAAGGAAATGGAAGAAATGAAGAATACTGCACAAAAATATAGCGATTATAAGAAAATACATTTTGATGAAAGAAATAAGATCATTAGAAATGAATTACCACACTTTTGGAAGACTGCAGTATCCTTTTCCATGTAAAAATTAACATTGACATACCGGTACTAGAATCTAGCAACATTTCTCTGTTACTGCTGTTGTGTGAATATATATTGTTGGCACTCATGCATATATAAAGCCCATCTTTCTCTGTGCCTAGGTATTTTCTTATTAGTCAAGTTGTTCTCATTTCTTGGTAAACATTTTTTAATTGATTTGAAATTTATCCTACAAGACAAGTACCGGTACTGTACAAAAAGAAAAATTGAAGCAAAATAGCATTTCAGCATATTTTGAATATTAACCCTGGTCAGTAGAAATGGAATTGTCTTTTACCAAATTAGTGTTAATTTAGTCCAATAATAGCCTAGCTAGCCTGACATTAGGTAGCCAACGGTAATTAACACTTTCTCATTTGATGAAATAAGCTTTAAAGCTTTATTGCTATAGTATAGTGAGCTCAATTTCTTTTATTTATGGTCATGTTTTTTCAAAAATTGATCGTGTTTTGTTCAAATTGTATGATTGCAGATATTTTAAAGCACCGGTACAGGTAAGTAAATAATAATTCAAGGCAATGAAATGAATAAGATTTCAGTGGCTATAGTCTTAAGAAAACCAAAGGAGATTCCCAGACTGTTATTAACCTTATTTTTCCGTCACCTAAACCACTTATTGATTGTTCATGAAGTACACATATCAATATAATAAATCCTTAACAGATTTCAGTTTGTTAATCACCCCCAGATAGAAGAATTGTTGACAGAAGAAGATGTGGAGAGCATTGACTATCTGGTTGATGTAAGAAAATTAAAGATATTCAATTTTTTAGCTAATGTACTCCAAATTCATGGCATAGAAGCAAATTTAGAACAACTCTTTAGAGAGCCTAAATTAAAGGGAGATAATAAAGTTAGAAATGCTATTTTTATTTACATTATTTGTAAAGAGCTACACCATTTCTTGTGTGTCACTTTGTTGTTTAAGATAACAGAATTTGTGCTGGTTTAATTTTTATTCATTCATGCCAAAAAAAGAAAAAATAAGGCTCAAATCAAATCAAGATTTGCAGCTGAAAAATTTGGTATTGCACAAAAACATGCATATTTTTGATCTGCTTTTGTTTAACTTGTAAAAGGCATTTTTTTTTTCCAGTTATATGTAGAGGACTTTGAAGATATAAGAGCAGGGTATTTTTTACATTTTGAATTTTCTACTAATCCATATTTTACTAATACTGTAATAACCAAAGAATATCATTTAATGGATAAGAATCACAAAGTATTGGGTAAGAGTATGTTTTATAGAAACCATCAATAAGAAAAGGAAACATGACTGAAAAACAATCTGAATGAAAGTAGATCTGGATTTTGTAAATGTACATTCCTATGATCATTGAATGGCTAGTTCATTTCATTACAATGATACTGTTGACCAATCAGGTTTCGACTATGATACACCATACAAGTAAATAGTCACAAAAAAGAAGGCAAAATTGTAAAAAGGCCAGGCCTAATTTTCACCCTAATAAGGATTTTATTATTATTATTATTATTAACCTCAAGATATTTTATTTCATATTTTTCTGTGGGTGACTCTGAAAGCCATCCATTGCCTGATTAGATTGTTATGTGACGTGTGAAAATATTTTAGGTCCCTATATGATATTGTGCCAGTAAAAACCTTGTCTCTCACATGTGACAAACATTGGGATAATAGAGCTGGGTGATATTGGTTCAAGTGGATATCACAATATTATGCATTAATATATCACAATATAGATATAGTATGGTTTTTAACTGGTTAATGAAACAAACTGTTAATTGTTTTTCTTGAAACTGGTATATCGCCTAACCTCAACTGGGACATTCTTTTTTTAATACTGCCTTATATGTTTTTTTTTACCTTGCCTTGGTAATTTGATCTTCAATTTTTAATAGAGGAACCAATCTCAGTATCATCAGAGATTAAGTGGAAACCTGATATGGATTTATTAGCAAAGAAAAAGAAAGACAAGAAAAAACGCAAAACATTCAGTGCTTTCTTCTCTTGGTTTACTGATAATGAAGATCCTGCTTCAGATGAATTAGCAGAGGTATTAAACCAAACAAAGCATGTTAGCTAAGTTGACTTCCTAATGGTGGTTATGGGTTCTAATCTCAGTCAGCTTGTAAAAACCAGTTGACCTCGAATAAGTCATCTGTACTTATTATTCAAGTCAACCCTGCTGAAAATGGGGACAGATTCATGCCTAATACTAGCTGATAGAAACAAGTGATGTTTTAATTTTCTCATCTTGACTTACAGTTGTTGAAGAACTAGTTTATTCAAATTGTTTTTGTCTTATTTTGCCTTAGTAAGATATCAGTAAGTTTTGAAATACTGAAGGAGTTTACTACCAATTCTTATTTTGACTTTCCTATTAGCTCATAATTTATAGTCATATAGATATAATTTTTAATGTAATTTTTTTAATTTTAGGTAATAAAAGAGGATCTATGGCTAAATCCCCTACAATATTTCTTAGATATAGAAGCGGATGTCAGGTAATTTGGCTTAGTAAATCTAGTGAGCCTTTTATAAGAAACATTGTTGAATATCACTAAACAGTAAAGTCTCATGGTAATATTTTGACAGTTTCAATTTGAAAATTTCCCTCAATACACACTGCATGTCTTTATTAGCCCAATTTTGTTGAGACGGGTAGGGGTAAAACTCGATGCATTTCATTTAATTCTTTGTAAATGGTAAAAAAGCAAGACGATTCAGTCAATAAAAATCTCGACCTAAGAATTTTAAAATGAGGCGTAAAGGTAGTATAGCAGTGGACTCTTCCAAAGATAAGTACCATCAGAAAGTGGTGCTCAAATAATGCCTAGCATTTTGTTAGTTTCTATCATTTAGTATGATGAATCACATGAGTATTTAATGTTTGACTATTATGTTTCTGATTTTTTCAGTGGGGCATCTGAAGCAAAAGAGGGTATGTATTAAAAAAAAATGATTATTGATGTGTAGATGACTAAAACTATTGATGCACATCCAAGGACAATTATAAACTATTAAACCACCAAGAATCCATTGTATGTAGACATATATTTTTGATACCAATGCTTGTTAAAGGGATTGTAAAGAGGTTTTCTTATCTTTGTATGTGTATAAGAGACACGCTGATAGCATCAATTTCTACAATTCAATTATCAGTCAGATGCCTATAGTTCTTGCAATCCTACTAAAATAAAGCATTTTAAGACGTCACTATTGCAAAATCGACTGATATAATATAAAGCACTTTGCGATAGTGACATCATAAAACACTTAGTGTCTGATTGAAAATTGAAATGGTGCAAATTAATTCTATCAATGTAAAAAATTTAGAAAATCTCTTTTAAAATCCCTCTAAGCTGCCATGAGATTAATTACAGACAAGTAGAGCTTTATTTTTGATTGACTGCATTCTACATGTTGATTTTAGACAAAGTGGTGTGATTTCAGAGTCTGGTATGGAAAGTACAGCCGGAAGTGCTGCTTCCGTAACTACTGCTGCTTCCGTAACTACTGCTGCTTCCGCAACTACTGCTGCTAGTGAAGCTGAGAGTTCTGCTGGAAGTGAAATGGGGAGTTCTGCTGCTAGTGATGTGAGTTCTGCTGTTAGTGGATCTGAAAGTTTTTATGAGAGTGGCGCATCAACAGGTCTAGAGACAGGTCTCAGTGGATCTGAAAGTTTTTATGAGAGTGGAGCGTCAACTACAGGTGCTGAAACTACAGGTGCTGAAACTACAGGTGCTGAAACTACAGGTGCAGAAAAAGGTATGTCAATTAGCCATAGTGCTTATATACCTATACCTATAAATTATGGGAATGGACACCAGGTTCTTGTTTGTTGAGGTCTGAGTATATATATATTATATATATATATATTAGTGATCAGTGGTCACTCCCTTCTCCACATTTTTGGAGTAAAACTTGCTATAAATTCAATTTAAAGGAGTTATACCATAGCTAAGCACTACCCATTTGTTGTACAATGGAAAGATCATAAGGATTTTGTTACCATGATATAAGATTCCATAAACTATTAATCTAACTTTGATAAACAGTCCATTTTATTTTTCAACAATAGTTTATTTTATAGACCCCTTTCAATATAAAGGCATGGTTATTTGCATTCTAATTTTATAATTAGACTAAAATTTCGTTTTGTTCATAACAAAAAAAGTGTGATATTATTATGATTAGATTGTGTTATTTGATACATTTCCTTACCCCACTGTTTCATGAAATTTGATGATATTTTTCAGTGATGCTGTTTAACTTATTCATTTTTTATAATCTTACCTCATTTCATTTACAGAGCGCAGAGTTAAAATTGTAGTCAAGAAATAAAGAGTAGTGATCATTTTTTTTTTCCTTGTTGGAATTTTTGTTAAACTTAACTTTTAATTTATTTTGAGCATTTGGTTTAATTGAAAACATTATAATGATGACCCTGTATTGTTATTGGTCCTGTCCGTCTGTTGTTTTTAAAGAATTATATTGGTAAGATCTTGGAAGAATATTTTGAGAGCAGAGCAGCAGGGCTATTAAATCTGTGTGGACATATGTTTTAGAGCAGCCCTAATGTCATACTTATGCTATTTCAATATATCTGAAGATCAATTTATCAATTAACATATTCGTTTCAATGATGAAGGTATTGCATATTACTCTTGACTGCAATAGTCACCATTCTTGTTTAACAGAATAAATGGATTTTATTGGATTGTATGTCAAACAAATGCAGCCAATCATAGCCAACGACAGACGTTATGTATTATTGTTTACATACTTTCTGTCAAGGCTATATTTCAATCAAACACCTGCATTTACAGATTTCGGTGTTAAATGAAAAGGTTCCATTGCAGTCAAGGTATAAGACAAAGTTTTTTTGATCCATTAGCTGAATGTGATATTTTGAGGCCTTGAACTTTATGTGATATCTTTTGCCGAATTTCATTTTTGATTTGGCTGAGAATATTTACTTCATAAGATTGTTATTCATTTTATTGTTTTGTTGATTATTTTTTGAATAAATTTGTTATGTTGTTTTTTTTGACTATCACTGATATGGTGCAAGTATATGGACTGGATCTGCTGCTATGAAATAGGGTTAATGAACAATCATCACTACCACATCCCAAAATCAACTCGTGTGATTTCCTCTTGATTTAAATTTTGAAATTGGTCCTAGCCCAGCCACATAATGACACAATATGTACCTGAGCATCTGGTATACTGCGGTTACCAAGTGACGATACAAAACGTCCTAATCCATACTGTGTTAATGATACTAAATGTATTGTTTTATTTCCTGTTGGATATTATGTGGTTTCTTAATCAAAATTGAGCATTACTTTCTATAGCTAAAGAATATGAAAAAACGCCATAATATGTTTTAATCATTTATTCAAATAAAGGACAATGTTTTTTGATTTAAGAATGTTATTGTGATTAAGTAAAAAAATGCGTTGTTAATGATCAAAATCCCATGCTTGTCTAAAACTACTATAAATTCAAACATGGCTGAATAAATATGGCACTCATATATATTAAGTTTGAGTTGAGTAACATAAAGATATAATCTATAATTCAGATGGTCCTTCAATTAGTACATGTAATACCAAGATATTGGTTTAAAGTCATAATCTCCAGGATATCCAAATAGTTGATATACTATCTATGAACATTAGTATTATGTGGTCAAATTAAAAGACAATATATTTTAAGTAAAAGCAAAATGAACTTTGATTAATTGAAATTTTTAAACTTGGCAAAAATGAGTCTTACATCAGTGGACTTACCTACTATACAACAGAATCCATAAAACTATTAATAATTCACTGAACTTAGAAGCATGTTTCAAGAATTATTTAGTTTAATGGATATATTGTCTTATAGAGAGATTATATTCTTCAGTCATGGCATCTGGCAAAATTTAAAACGTTACAATATACTGGTAAGAATAAACAAGATCAGTATTTACTTTTCAAAAATTAGAAAATGTACATTTTCAGTATATAGGAAAGAATTAGTAAAGATCACTAACATCAGTAAGATCATATTTAAGATCATTAATCAGTTGAGAACTTTCTCAAGCATCAGATATTTCTGTACTAAACTGTATCATCTGACATATAATTTCATGATTAACTTGTAGCTAATAATGTTAATTTATCAAAGGATGAAATGTGAATAGAGAATGAACAATAATGATAATAAAATGTTGTAAAGCTATGTAATGGAATGGTTAAAATGAGCAATATAATATGGTAATAAATATAATGATTATCACAGATAATGACACTGGTATAACATAACAAAAACAATCACAATTTCATATATATATATCTTAAAACACAGTAAAAAAAACTTCTGTTTTAATATCAACCTGGAAAATGTAACACATTCCTTATATTTCTATTAATATTAAAATATGTTGTACATTGAGGTTTCTCATTCATGGCTTCTATTTGCATCATTTTATTTTCCGTCAGATGTCTGTAGTAACTTAAATACTTTAACATAAACATTGTCAGTTGATAATAATTTATATTCCCTATGATAGCTATGCCATGAAACACTTAGTTTTAATGAACTTGCAAAAACCAACAGAGGTCTGACTGAAAATTGGAATGGTGCAACAGATGTCTCAAATGAAATTTGGTAAACCTTCTGAAAATCCTGAAATAATAAAAGCTACAGAAATTTTTAAAGGAATTTGATTAAAGAAGAATTTTGGGTTACAACGACCATCATGATATACTGGTTAATTCTCTTTATTTTTGAAAAGCATCTTTTGGCTGAAATAATTTGGCAACAAAAATCCTAAATTAAAGCCTCAACAAAAAATTCGAAGAGGTTAAAGCACGAAAATATTCTACTTCTATCGAAATAAAGCATGAAATATCAGGATTTCTCAATGACAAACATAATTTAAGTAATTCATTACCAATACAAACTTACAAATGTGACCAAATGTAACAAGCATATATTTATAGATAATCAGATTTTTAAATAATTTGGGAAAGGCTGACCTGAAATATTAAGGGACAATATTAATGTTAACCATGTTAAATTCATTGTATTTTGTCAAAAAAAAACAAAATGAAAATATTTTTTCCACAAGCAAAATGTGTAAAAATTGGATTATTTCAAAGTCAAGGGAACACTTTTATTTTGACTGACCAAAGTACTCTAGAAATTTAATAAAACATCTTGTTAAACAATAAAGTATCACTTAACAACTTTTGATTAAGTTTTTTCTGTCATATAGTCACAAAAGTGACTGCCAAAAGATAAAAAAAACCTTCATAGAGAAAAAAGATGATATTTTTCACATGTCACGACAACTGCTTTAGAAATGTAAGCTAAATTCCATGCAATGATGACTATAGACATAATTATGTGACCAAGATGTACTATAAATTTAATAAATAACTAAATAAATATGATTTAAACTTCTGGATGATCATCCATTTTCAATTTGTGGTTTATCAGGTGACGTAGGAGATATATCGTTGTTTATTTGATTAAAGTCTTGTGTTGATGATCGTGATATACAGGCTCGTTTCATTTTGGCAAATAACCCTCCATCGCTTTGACTTCTAGGCAGACTAATTTCTGTAATTATATAATATTGAGACATATATTAACTTGTAAGTTTTCGTCATTAATTTTCTTTTTTATGAAAATTCAGGCAAAATTTTCTGTCAAGACATTAGCTCAATGGAATGTAAAACAGCAGAGCCCTGTTCACTCAAAAAAATCGGAAAGCATCAATTTGCACCATGCCAATTTTCAATCAGAGGTCTGTAGTTTTTGCAGTTCCTCTAAAACTAAGCATTTTATGTCACTATTGGAAAGAGTAAGATAGTAATGTCAATCAAATTTTTAGAGGAATTGCAAGATTCATGGATTGGAATGGTGCAAATTGATGTTATCAGTGTGCCTGATACACATAAATATAATCTATAATCTGTTAAAGAATAACTGGATCTTTAGATGTTTAAGAAAAAAGCCCATGATCTCCATTTCATTTCTAACTGCTATGAGCAAAGGACATAACTAGTACTTGTTAAAAAGAATATATTTCTACAACTAACCTTCAGGAAGGGGAGCAAACTCTGCCTCATCCCAACTGATTAAACCTAATGTTTTAAGATTGAGTATTGAATCAGCTATAATTCTAGCTGTTTGTTTTAAATATCCACCACTTGTTACCATAAATATTGGTATACCACGTGTTCTAGCTTTCTGAAATACTATCTGATCTCTTTCAATAATACCCTGCAGAAACAATAAAAATCAATTTATCTAAAATCACAAAGGGAGATAGATAAAAAGGATAAAGTGTCTTTCACAAATTAGGCTTTTTCAACTGTTATTTTTTCAATATTGTTTCAGATACAAATCCCTTATCAGGGCAGTCAGGGTAGTGAAGTGAACCTTTTCAAATCTAGGCATATACCATTTACTAATTGTTTACTGTGTGTTCTTTAGTTAGTATTAATTTCTTCAGCAATACCAAATTTTCTTTGTCAGAGTAAAGCACCATCACATTCCAGTTTTAACTAATGGTCGCCAAGTGGTAGTAAAAATTAGGACTACCTACACTGTTTTATTTGTAAGGAACTGACATACCTGTGGTGTAATAGATAAATTACCAAGTGGATCACCATCTAATATATCAGTACCAGCATTATATACTATAATATCTGGTTTAAACTCATTTAACGCTCCTTCAATATGTCTGTAATTACAATATTTCACTTGTAAAATTAACACAATACAGTAATAACTTTATTTACTTTTGATCTGTGATGTTCAAAGCTATACTCTTGTTTTAAAACTTAATATTGGAATCCCTCGGTCATACAACCAAGAGCATCAATCTCAAAAGATGAAATGAATGGAGTCTCTCATCCTACTGTTCTTCACCTTATCTGCCACGCCGTGTGCAATGAGGGAAATTTTGTCTGGACAACAATTTTTTTCAATTTCCATCTGTTGAAGGATCTTTATCATTCAATATTTGTAGCACATGGGGACCTTCAGGTTAACTCACTGAGCCACTAGCACTCCATTGATCTTAATGAAGATGATGAGACAAATAGTGGAGAGCAGTCCTGTTGATGCAACTGTTTTCTTGGTGAAACTGTATCACAGAAAGCCTCATATTACCTTCTCACTAGATCTAAATAGACATCATCATCAGTAAAATGTTGTAACTCTATTTTTCTTTTAATTGCACCTTATAAAATAAATTGTAAATTAAAAACAAACCAGAATTTAAATCTGTTTTGGAAGAATTAAGGGAAAAGCAGATACTTGAATGTCAAGTCATCCACAGCACAATTACAAAACATCAAGATCTGGATCTAAATCAAATTGATGCAATTCTAGGTCACTAAAATATTCAACCAATCAAATGCTTTCTTTCAAAATTGCTTTGATACCCAGGATTTAAGGACTCTGGGTTATTGCTTAATAAATACTAACTTCAGTTAGTCCAAATCAAATATGGCTAGTCCTAGGATCTACCTGTATTACTTACGTTTAGCAAAGCCATCATGAGGATAAATACCTCTATTATATACATCCATTATATATACTCTATTATCATTCATAAAATCTCTCTCATGTCCATTACCCTGTAGATTATAATACGTTATTGTAAATATGTTGAACTATGTATAGTATTCAATACCTATTGATTTAAATCTAAGCTGGATGTTTCCATAAAAATGTTTCATCAGATTTGCCAGACATTAAAGGTGGGTTCCCTTATTTTCATTTAGGAAAATTAAAATGCTAATACTTATATGAATAGAAAGCAGATGTGTTCTAATGACTTGGAAAAATATCTGTTTGTCTCACATGTCCATAATTAATTCATAAGTAGCTAAATTAGAAGAGAATTACCACCAGAATTCCAATGAGTGACCTGATCAAGAAAGGTCAAAAAGTCTTTTTTTGTTTATCCAGACTGTACATATATGGACATTTATGATTGGTTAAAACTCTTTAGTTATATGCAATAAGAACAAAATGATATGATTAAGAATACCTGATAATTCATTAGAAACACCTTAGAAAAAGTTTGTTTAATTTGACACTAAAAAATGAGGAAACCCATCTTTAAAGCACATTAAATACACAGTACAAAAACAATGACATGAAACTGTAAGAAAAGGATTGAATAATTGGCTTTATTTCAAAGTATTCTTTTGCATACTTTGGTTGAACCATTTATTTTTTGCTATTTACAATATTTTACTATTGTCTTCAAGTTGGAATGATTTACTGTAGTCAAAACATATCACATAAGCTTGAGCTTGACAACTAGATTTTAACTGGATTAATGTAATTTTAACTCAATTTAAGGTCATGATTACAAGACAGTAAAACATTTTCTGGAAAGGGAAGGAGTATGGCATTGAAAACCTCGACAAAGCTGTTAAAGATTTTACAACAAAATAAAACATTGATCATATGATTGCATTGAGTATATTTTTTACTTACCTGATGAGCATCAAGATCTACAATCATCACCTTGGAAACACCTTCTACTTTCTCAAATAGAAACTTAATAGATAGAGTAATATCGGCATAGGCACAGAATCCTCCCCCTCTCTCAGCTGAACAATGATGAAATCCACCACCAATATTAATACACCAACCTCTATCTAGAGCTAATTTACCAGCCTATATAACATAAATCAAATTGTATCATGAGACTATTACACCTCTTGATCTTTCCAAATTTATCTGTATTTACAGCTGGCTCCACTGGAATAATGAAAATAGTTGACTAAAGTCGCGAATGGACAAGGAACAGTTTCTGATAGGGTGTATGGTCCAGGAATATCAATACAGTAAATGATAGTAGATGTCCAGACCAGTGCCTTGTGTATACACATATTCTGTTTTCTTCTATATTTATAATCCTGCACCGTATGCTACACCCTACCTCACCAATTCACCTGACATTTAGAAACTGACTGAGATAAGAACACACAACCACAAATTGTAAATTCAAACTAAAACATGGCCACTTTGGATAAACTATTTCTTTAAATAAATAAAATGTTGTCATAACGAAAATCATTATCACATAAAACAGGCTATTTTACCACGGGGTAACATGGTGTATATATAAATATTTTAAACAAAGAAATAAATACCAGGATTGTTCCACCAGTTTGATAACGAAATGGACGTAAAACCTTTTTTTGGACAACAAAATTTGGTAATAAGGCTACAGGAGGTACTTCTGTTATACCAGCAACATTCCAACTCCACTTAAAATAAAATAAACAATAATCTATATAAGCTTATTAGTATGACAAATCTAGCTGCTTGAAGATCTTGACCAACATTTAAAAACTCACAACTGTTCATATAACTTTGAATAAAACATTGATTACGTTACATACAAAAGTCATTTGCATTTGGAATCAAAACCAGCCAAGAGAAAATTAATGATAGAGCACAAGTTAGTTGACTGCAAGCATTAAAGGGGATTAAAAAGCAGATTCCAAATCTTGTATGTGTACAGAGATGTTTTTAGCATTAGAACATCCTGAATTCCAATCCAACATTTGTGGTTTCAAATTTACAAATACTATAGCTTTTTAATTTTTAGCTTCAAATCAAAACAATTTAATGCCAATACTTATTAACTTAAAACATCTGTGGACATAAGCAGTATAAAGCTAAGAATGTATGAAGTGTGCAATGGGAGACTTTCATGATGATCATAAGTGTCAATGGAGGTTAGTGCTGTACAAACACAGAATAACCAGTATGCAGTATGTATGTAAGATTAGACATATAAATCAAGAGCAGTAAAATATCTCTGTATGTACAACACCATGCAGTATAATCAATCGATAACAAATATCATAAGGGAAGTTTAACAGCTAAAAAGATTTAAAAGCCACAACTAGGTGCAGCATATACTGTTCTGGTGACAAAAATTTCGATAAGAACAATTCTAAATATATGTAATTCTTAAAATGCAAATAATTAAGCTTTAATTGTCAAATTACACATCAAATACTTGACAAAACAGTGTTAAAATATAAATAAAATGTTACTACCTCTGATATTCCCTCTATGATATCTGTTAGCTGTGAAGATAAATAGGATGGAAATAGGTTAGAACAGGGATTCTCAACTGGCGGCGCATTAGCACATGCAAAATGGTGCACGACGGAATCCGCAAAAAAAAACAATTTCGCCACATTGATATTCTTGTACAGAGAGTGAAGAAAATAAAGAGCATCATATGAGCACAAGCATAGCGTCCAGCCTTTCCCCCCACATGTGCCTTTTCCTAAGGTTCGCTAAGGTCTGTGGCGCTTTAGCAATTCCAAACAATGAAAGTGACACTTCAGGTTATTTAATTGAGAAACCCTGTGTTAGAAATTGTTAGAAATATCATTTATATGCTATAGTCAATTAGGCTGAAATGATCAATATGATGATGTATATTGAATCATTTCAGCCTTAAGAATCAACTAGAAAAACAAAATAAATATAAAGGAAAGCAACTAAGGTTTGGTTAAAGGTTATGTTAAATCTATTTTATAATTTTAAGTTCCGGTACCCTCTCCACCACAAAGAAAAAAGAATAGAAAAATAGAATTGATCTAGAAATTTCATCTCAAACATTTGTCAGCTGTTTGATTGTGATGGATTAATTTCATTTTCATCCAAATTTGAATGTTGTATTATTAAGTTCAATTTCGCGTGCTATGCAAATATAATTCAAATATTTAGATTTATGTAATTAGGTTTGAACTCAATAAACCATTCAAAATTGACAACAATAAATTGAAATTTGATCAAAGCAGTTTCACTGGAAATGAAAAGATAAAATTTCTAGATCAAACCCTGGAGAAATACAAACCTTTAAACTGTTTAGATATGTTTTACTATGAACGAAATTTAAATCTTCTTCTGTGGCTTCAAGTGGTTTTATTATTGTATCATCTCTTACCATTTGAGCTTCTGAAATTTACAAAAAAACAAAAAAAAGGACATATATAGTGAACTCAAAATAACAGACTTGAAGTGTAGTGCATTAACAATTTGTAACATCACTTGGTCACAGCTGCTTCACAGTAGAGTAGTAACTTATGCAAAAGGGTCAAACAGTAAAAGAAAATAACATAACATACCTACATTATAATTATAAATATGATAAAATACAGTACTACCTTTTAAAAATTCAAAAACTCTTCCCCATTTAGCTGAATCAAATGGATGAAGCTTTTCAAGGCCCATAAAACTAATGTTGTATTCTGGTGTGTATATGATAGGCCACTGTGTATTGAGTACATCTTTATATAATTGTGTTGTATGTTTTTTTTTCCTGAAAATTAAAACTGGATCTCTTAACACAGAATTTCAGTTTAATGTCCAATTCAAACCACCAATGCCAACACCTCCATGTAAGCAATCAAACAAACACTGAAACACTAGACTTTCCATAAGACTAAAAGATATACCATGCAACTGCAGTGTTTCATAATCCGATATAACAGATGATTGAAATATCACTCATAGATTGTACTAAAAGGTCTAAGAAGATAACCTTTCTTTTGGTAGATGAATAATAACCAACCTTAATATTTCACACCAAACCGTCTATTTTGTATATAATTCAGAAGATTATGGATTTTCATTTCTTATTACAGAAAAATAGTATATTCAAACTAACTGCACAAACAATACTGTTTACTTGTTAATACTATCACTCGGCAAATGGGGGGAAACCACTGTAAGCCCTATCTCACTAGAGGTTATACCTACATGCCTGTGCTTTTGTAACATTACTTCTTAATATTTCTCTGAACCCGCACCAGCTCAGTCATTACAGTCAGTGGTAGGAGATTATTTGTTGCATAGACACAGTAAAAAAAACTAAAGAAAATGAAAGTAGAAAAATTGACAGGTGTCAATCGAATCATGTTATTCAAAGGTTGTAAATGGATATAGGCAAATATTCGACGGTAAATCAAGACATAAACAACGTGTTAACAATCATGCATAACAACTATTCTGTAAGTCTTTTGAAATTTATCAAAATGCTCTAAATTTACCTCTTTAGCTTGTTATTATCATTTTCGTCTTCCATGTTGAAATGTGACGTCATTGATTAGGGCAAGGTTCGACTAGTACTCAAAAGTTGAAATAATGAGCGCTCCATGGAATAAACATTGTCCAAAACAGATCGAGCTCAAACAGTATTTTGTATTTCGAAAATCTCAAAAATAAATAATAATAAACGAATTTATTATAGACAACTATCTACAAAGTATCTACAACTTATATGTCGCTTGCAAACATAAGGAATGTCGAAACGAACTAATTCCAAGCGGATGTTGAAATATTAAAAAGCACATTTTCTGGAATTATAGGGTATTTTTCTGATTATCTATGTCTAATCTTGAGATATCCTAGAAATTTTTTAATGCATCTCCCCAGTTGTGAGTGTGGATAATGTTGTTGTTGAAATTAAAGCATATCAAATCAACAGTCATCGTGAAATAGCCAGATAAAGAAGATTTGAAAACTATTATCTCCCTTTGCAACCCTATTTACCCACGTGTTCAAGAACATGGCTTTAAGACCACCGATAGAATTTTCGCCTAATAGCGAGTTTCTTGCGTATGCAAGCCCAGATGGTGTCCTTAAAGTATGGGAAACAACAAGTGGAATATTGAAGCAGGAATACACACCAAGCTCTCATCTTTCTGCAACATGTTCCTGTCTCTCATGGAGCAGATACACAGCTGCCCCTCGCCCTAAAAAGAAAAGAAGATCTACATCAGCTACAAATGTCAGCCAGTCTGATGATCAAAGGCTAATTGCAATGGGAACAACAAGTGGCAGTGTTTTGATTTATAATGTGGTGACAGGCAGTCTACAAACTCAGTTGACAGGGGGACATACTGAAACTGTTCATGGTTGTAGTTGGCATCCAGATGAACCCAGTCTCTTCACTTGTTCATCGGATCATCATATTGTGGAATGGGATGTTGGTAAAAATACTGTGAAAGAAAAATGGAAAGCAGATAAAGGAATAGTATATTCTGTTAGTGTTGTTTCCCAAAAATACCTTTTATCTGCTAGCAGGACTATTAAGTTATGGAATATTGATGGGAAAAAAGAACTTTTAAAAACATTTACTGGTCATGCAACAGAAGTTTTAAGACTTTTACCCATACCGATTGGCACTAGTAGTAATTCTATGAATGGTGAAACCTCAGACTTTTACTTTTTGTCAGCTGCATTAAATGATAGAACTGTGAACGCTTGGCATTCGTCTCTTGATGTGTCTGCCAAAAACTCATTAGCATCTTTTTCATTATCAGATGAACCTGTTGTTATTAATATTAGTAGAAAATCTGCAAAAGACTCTCAGTTGTTGTTATCAGTTGTTACTTCTAGTGGACATTTGTTAGTTTTTGAACATACCTTAAATGGACGAATGAAAAAGCCTCTGAAACCTAAGGTACATGCACAAATTGCAGCATCAAATCAGAATGATGGTGCTCCAGAAATGATTCCCATTTTAGCCTCGGTTATTTGTGAAGATGTTGGAAATAATATTCTTTTAGCCTATGGAAGTTTTCTGAAACCTACGTTTGAGAAAATACCATATGATTCCTCTCAGTCTGAGATATGCCTTGTTCGTGAAAAAGATATTTCTTTGAATGGTGCCAGTAGATCTAAAGAGAAAGAAATGACAAAGATTAAAAATCCTGAGACGTCTGATGCCATCATGCTGGCGCCAGGTCATATGATGAGAAGAAAGCGTAAACCATCTGTAGGAGACATGACAATGGAAGACAGATTAAATGCTATCAGTATTGAGAAACCAGGAAAAAAGAAAGAAGAATTGCCCAAAGCTGACACCTTGATTAATTTACTTTCTCAGGGTTTACAAAGTAATGACAAAGAGCTGATTGAAAGAGTTCTGCATCACGAAAACCAACAAATTATCACTAACACTGTACGCAGGTTACCAGTTCAACTCATTGTTCCATTCATCAAAGCTATATCAGTACGTATTCATGTGCGACAGAGTGGAGGGGCTCAAGTTTTGTTAAAGTGGTTAAAAGCTGTTCTTACTACCCATACCTCATATCTGATGACTTTCCAAGAAATTGTCGATTCATTGAGTGCTTTATATCAATTAATGGAAGCTAGAGTAGGAATGTTTTCACGCTTGTCTCGACTTCAAGGCAAGTTAGATCTGATGTTGTCTCAGATAACCTGCCAGGAACAAGAAGAGGAAGAAGGAATCGTTCAAGCTCCACTGTTATTATACCATGAGGAATCTTCTGAAGATGATGATCCTATGGAAGATTTATTAGCCAGTCATTCTGAGTCAGAGAGTAACTGGGATGTAACTGATATGGAAGATGAAAGTGCTGATGAAGAGAGCATGGGCTCTGATGATTAACATTTGACATTTAATTTTGTTAGAATTATATTTTCATGCTTAAATTGGGTGCTCAATATATGATAGCGCCTAACTGCCATTGAAAGATCTATGAAATTTATAATTTCAGATGGTTGTTAATATCTCTGGATATTTTGCATTTATTGAAATACTACATTTGATATTCAACTTTAGAATAACTCAGATTGACAGAATAGAGTCTAAAGGGGATTGTAAAGAGGTTTTCTAAACTTGTTTGTGTATTAGGGCCCATATATATAATCGATTTGCACCATTCGAATTTTCAATCGGGCACAAGTGGGTCTTGCAATTCAACTAAATGTTGGCTGCTTATATATTATTAGTTGTGAGATGTGTTAAACGGTTAAGCATTTCTATAATTACAGGAACCACAGTCCACAGCCATCTGATGAAAAATAAGAGTGGTGCAAATAGAAGCCATAAATGGCCACAATACAACAAGAAAGTTTAGAAAAGCTATTTACAATTTGTTTAATAAAGTAGAAAACTTCGGAAAGGATTTTAACTTATATACTTATTGGTCATAATCTGATTAATTTCTTGGAATGAGTCCGGAATTTTGCTAAAGTAAAAATTGTAAATTGATAAATGAATGTTCTGAATGAATTCTTGTACTAAAACTTGCAGAGCAACTATACTAAGGCGAAAAAAAAGGTTTGAACCTGTCAATGAGGCCTTTTATGAGATTTTCTTAAACTAAGTCAGAGATTATCTTGTATATTTGTATTCTTTGTATTTTCAGACTTTGAATTAAGAAATATAAGCATATTAGGCAATCTGGTTATGTAATTGTACTGCTGAAGAACTATATGTCAAATGTTACTTTTTATTTTGAAGTACTTTGTTAAAGGACCGTTAAGTTTATTTTGTATATAGTACAGTTATTAAGTAAGTTGATTTTGTTGACTTTGTTATGATTGAAATATAAAATGATCATTATGTAAATACAAAAAATTTCAGATGCAATAATAGCAATTTATTTCAACATCAACTCCTATTCCAAGGAAAAATTGTCTTGTATTAAGTGATCCCAAGTCTGATTTTATATTTTTACTGCAAGTCATGTATTTTCATGCTCTTCAAAAGATAAAAAAAAAAAGCTTATAATTCCAAATGTATGAATTATAGGATATATGTCAATATTTTTGAATATTTTTAAGATATTTGTGCATATTAATCATTAGCAGTCCACTACATTATTAGGTAGTTAATAGTAATGAACAGAAAATAAATGACCTTTATATTGTCAACTGATAATAAAGCACACTGCTCATTTATGTTTTGAAATGTTACAAGATGTGCAAAAATCTCTTCTCGACTGTAGTAACATTTTTTAAGTATTAAGCAAGAAATATGGCCTTCCAGATAGATTTGCTGTAAAGTCCTTTTGTTTTCTTAGGAAACCAATCGTTGTCTTGATTTTTGTGGAACGGGATGTTACATAGATTTTGATAGTTAATAAGAATATGAGAGAAAAAATAAATTGTATAAAGAATATAATATGTATTTGAAAAAAAAAAAAAAAACATAATATATTGAATGACAATGCTAATTATCTTGAGATGAAAATATATTTAAAGATTGATATGAGTTTTATATTAATGTAGATACTGGATATTGCCATCTATGATTGTTTCTTGTGCAAAACATCTGCCTATCCCAGACTATGAAAGTTGTCAGCTCGAGTAGGGTCAGAAAAACTGGACCCTTTTAAATGGGGACTTTCTGCATCTGTGAACATGTGGTTTTTCTTAGACAAAGTTCATTTACCTTGAATCCACCAAACTCTGAGGCTTGAGTTTTAAAAATTTATTAGATTTATTCTGACCCTACTCCAGACAACAACACTGACAAAATAGATATTAGAGGAAGGTGTTTCAGACTAATAAGAAGTTTGAAATTTTTATATATCGGATGTGAAGATTTAAGTTTATTTGTAATGATTAGCGTTAGGTAAAGTTTGCAATTGACTATATTTTGATTAGCAGTTTTAAAATCCTTGCTCCTTTACTTAGAGTCTAAAGTTATCAAAATCAGCTGGTACAGGGATATGCATGACATAAGCTAGAATTTTCACTGGATTTGAGAACTTTTTTTATTTTAACTGTGGGCGTATATTACCTTGCCTGGCAAGCTATCTTACCTTGGGGATATCGAAATAGGTCATAGAGCGCCCAAAACTAGAAGGTCTTATTCTATGTTTGCTGATTACTTACATAAATATTCACTATCAAGTAGAGAAAAATAATTGCCAGAGAAAGGTTTTTTGGGCAGATCTATCTCCCTTGAATAAGTAGATCAAAAGACAAGTTTACAAATAATGAATGTATTTAATCAAAAACAAAATGTAATATTTGATGGTTATAAAGTTATGTAGAAAACAAGAAATTAACATATAAAGCAACATACATCATTAAAAGCTGAAAATATGAATTACATGTCTACAAGAAGTACAGTCACTCTTTTTATTTTAATGACATTGTTGTATAGTACTTCTAATAATTACAAATTACATTTATGTTAAATAAGTAGCTGTATTCTAATATTTAACATTACACTTATGTTAAATATAACATTGTAAACTGCATATAATCATTGGCTTTATTTGCAACTGCTTTCTACAATATACTGAACAGTGAACACTATAATGGTCTACCAATTTCATTATGGCAGTGAACAGAACTAAGTTCTGTATGCTAGCTAAAAAAGAAGTTTCTATATCATGGAATGTTGAAAAATATTGATCAAAGCTTCTATACAAATGAAATGATTATTGGCTTATCAAAAATGAGAAAGTGTACAAAGAATTAAACTTATTTAACACTAAAAAACAACCTTTAAAAACACAGCCTTAGATGAGACATCATATACACAGGTGTTTTCGTCGGCTGATTTGATTTTGTTTCGATTTGCTAGTACAATTTGGTGCAATTTCGATTAGATTAGCATTGGACAACAAATGCAGAATTTGATATCGACGATTAGGCAATATGACTGCCTCTGCTGACAACAAAAGAAAGATTATCTGTATTGTTGAACTTCCACATGCCACCATCTTTAAAAAGTCTAAACTATTCGCCTAACAACCTGCCAGGACGATTAGAATGATTACACTAATCAGTAAAAGTAAACTTCTTCTTCACAAATGTACCGATAAGTCTTAACTTCCTGGATCACAAATGTAAATGCTAATCTATCAAATCGAATCGGCTTACAAAAACGCCTCATGTTTTACCCTGTTAATAAGATAGAGAGATATGTTGGTTTCCACTTTGTTCAAAGTTTATTTTAAGGATTGAATTTTGATCAACACTATTTGCTCAACCAATACTTGATGTCCGACAGATCCCTCCCAAAAACAAACATTTAGGCTGGTCATGTCCGAAAAATATGGCCAAATCAATAGCCCTGGTTCAAACACAGCATCTCCAAATGTTAAGTTTGAAGCTGCAATGTGTTCTTTTCCAGTAAGGAAATAAATTCACAGCTGCAGTTACATGGTTCTACAAATTGAGTCCACAATATTTTCACTGTACCTCTTCCAAAGTTTAAAGATAACATATCCTTCTATCTGGTATTAACTACTAAATTTATCACATTGTGCTACTTATAACATCTATTAAGTAACAGATATTTAAATATCAATATAATATTGCACATATCCATTATTAAAATACACTAACATATCTGTTACTTACAAAATAACTTTTTTGATGGAGATCAAATCATATTTCCATTGAAATTGGAACACAAGTCCCCCAATTCTTAGAACTGATGAGATCTTATTTAAACTCTTATAACTGAAGAGATATGTCAAATTCTTAGAACTGACAAGATCTCATGTTAACTCTTAACTGAAGAGATCTGATTTCACCTCTAGGAACTGAAGATATCTCTTTTCCACTATAAGAAATGAAGAGATCTCATTTCTACTATTAGAAATGAAGAGATCTCATGTCAACTTTTAGAACTGAAGAGATCTTATGTCAATTTTTAGAACTGAAGAGATCTCATGTCAACTTTTAGAACTGAAGAGATCTCTTTTCCATTCTTAGAAATAAAGAGATCTCATTTAATGTCACAGACTGATGTTTTGAGTAAAATTGAAAACTTGGAAATGCATTTTGGTATTGGGGCTCGTTTATAGCTGGTTCTTTTCCACATACTAATGTATAAGTTATGGTCCCTAAGGTCTATGGACAATTATGCCTAGCAGTTTACAATATAAATTATCTACACAGTGCTTATATACAGTTAACTGTGCAACATATCTATTGCATAATCTGTTAATACAATGTATAATGGAATGATACTATAAATACTGCAAATACTACCAGGGATTTCTATATAGGCCTACAAGGCAACTAATATAAGTACCAAATTTAGCTTTTGCCCAGCCTCAGATAGCTATTTTTAACTATGGACGTAAGCCATATTTTAAATACCATTTACCTGTTGTCAATAATTTTCTATTGTCACATACTAGATTATTTGAGGGTAAGAAGGAGTGTGCACTATATTCAAAATTATATGGTATATATGGAAAAATGGAGTATCCATCCATCAGAGGTCTGGTACAAGTTGGTAATTGTCTGACTAGTAACTAAATAGATTAAAATAATAACAATATATATTTAAGATCATCAGCTATAGGATAAATATTTAACTTGTTATATCTATCATTAGATTTATGCACAATTCACTGTTTGAAATAAATGCAAAGGAAACACTTGTTGTGATTGGCATTATTTTACCATTAGCACATGTTGATCACTAGGCTTGTGCATCTAACTTGTTTAATTTGACTCAGCCCTCTTGGAATTTGATCTTATTTAAAACCAATTGTCCTGATGATGATTTTATATCTAAAACACATGTAGTAGGTGTAAGATGAGCTCTTGTCATTCATTGACTAGGCCTATATGAAACAGTAAAGCAGAGTTTACTAATTACTAAATATATATAATCCTAAAATACATTATCAATTATCTAAAGTAACATGGCCATTATTAAGTACATACCATTAAAATATAACTAAAATAAAATTGGAATGTCTTTTAGTCAAAAGTCATAGCTCAAATGCTCCTCAAAAGAGGTTGTAAATATTTACAGCAGAGTTTACTCTTTAATGGTCAAGAAAAGACTTTTACCTCAGAATTTCCTTCTTGATTCTTTCATTAAGAATTTGCCAGAAACAAAATGTCTCAATAAACGTTCCTTTCCAGATATATAAAAGTTTCCAGGTCAGAAACCATGTGTGTTAAACTGTTACAGATCTTAAGTCTCATTTTATTTTACCTGATCACAAAGAATAAACACTGCTCTTAAATAAAACAGAAAATATAACAACCGTAAATAACATTTCATCAACAAAACAATAAATCAAAAATAAAGTAAAAGTAAAAAATAACTAGTGGTTTTCAAAAAAAAAAAAAAATGGTCCTATGATATTATCTCTAAAAGGTCAGTGGGATGGTGTCTTTTTAAACTGGTTTCCTGTTGTGTTCACTTATTGCAACACTAACAACAAATATTTGACGATTTCAAGATTTGACGAAACGTATGGAACCTCAATGACATTACTTTATTGTATGACGTGAATTTCGTTCATTCAATGCCATGATGAATATAGCTGCAACCCGTTCCTTCCGTGCGAAGCTTAAGATGGAATCTTTGTTCCACAGTGTTATTTTCTTATCAGCAGAGTTATTTTCTGATTAAATGACACTTAGAAGCAATATCTTAAAACAGACAATAATTGAATCTAAAATTGAATTACTTTGTAAAAGAACCGATAGAGTGCTGGTAAATTAGCTAAAATCATAAAAAAAAAATATTAAACCTGCAAGTTTTCATTACTGCATCATCATACTTATCAAATCTCCTTTTAGAAGAGCAAAGAAAATTTGACCTTTTATTTACACGTTTGTCACATGTGGACAATTTTCAGATCTTTTGGCCAATACTGCCTTACTAACATCTCATAGCCTTCTGTTCTCCCTATATTTCTTGTAATTTAAAAGTTTCATTTCTTTCAATATAATATAGTTCGATAAGACCTAATAATATTCATTAGTTAAAGCTTTCAACAAAATACTTTGCATCATGTAAGTAAAAGGCCAATTGAATAAGTCTTAAGAAATGAAAAGAATATAGTATTATTGCCTAAATTAACAAGATCCCTACACACATGCTAAATTAGCTACAGGTAGAACAGTTAAACCAAATAAACATCACATATCACCAAATATACCAGCAAATGTTTTACGTAAGTTCTGCATGGTGTCTTCCTCTTCTTGAGAACTTTGTTGATGAGGCTGAACTGGAGCTCCTTGTGGCATCTGTCTTCCGTTCATTCCATAATTACCAGTTGGCCTACAATATTCAATAAATCATTTTAGAGAGTTTCTTGTTTTTGAAGCCACTTGTTCATGTTTGGAGGGTACTAGTTTGCACCAACAGCAAATGTCATCAAATCACAAGGTTCAGCTATGAAATCTAACTTTTAAAAATGGGTGTGCCTACAGGTGTAGCCACTGCTATAGAGGTCTCCATATAAGTATTGTCCTAAATTAGTGCTTTCATGGGGCGTATGAATATATCCTACTTTTCTGACTTCCATACTGAAGAAATGCACATACAGACCTTATTTCAGATTTTGATTGACGTTTTTTGTATGTGTATACTCACCCTTCATGCTGCCTTGGTTGACGTTGTTGAGGAGGAACTTGATTTGGTAGTGCTTGTTGACTTCCATTCATTGCATGATGACTCATACCACCAGAACTCATTGTTCGACTGAAAACAACAATCAAATCATTTATAACTTTACAAAAAGACAGTCATTATTGCAGAAGTCGCAATTTCACTACAAATCAAGGACACTCTCAGTCAGATTGTGTTTGTCTCAATAGCATTACTAGTGTGTAAATGCAATTCATCACATGACACTATAGTTGGAAAAAGTATGAATGGAGCAGAAGTGAAAGCAACACAATATTTTTTCCTGCTGTCAAAACAAGCTCACCTCATGGTTGGTGTTGGTTGACAATATTGTTGCATCCTTTGTAAAACTAATTCTGATATTTGTCTTCTATCTTCTTCTTGAGTTTCACCCAATAAATTCATGGAGGAACCATTCACCTACAAAGGTAATTATCGAATCAGCCGTTGAAAGCTGACACCTGACTGACAATCAAAAGCACTGGTTACCAGAAATTTCTTGAAAAGATTCGAACCAATTTGCACCTAAACGCTAAAATGACTATCGAACTAACTCTAAACTAAGTTTAAATCGTTTAACTTACCTCTATAATGTAATCTTTTCCATCTTTGCCTTGAATAGCTTCTACAGATACCATATCTAATCCACCAAATAACTGGCTGCATTCATCTAGCCATAATTTATACCTAAAGACACAGCACAATTTTTTGAGAATTGGGAACATAGCTTTAGTTGTTTATGATTTTAACATTTGTTATTAAGATGCTTGTGGGTTTGTGTTTTAAAGATTATTTAAGGGTATTCTTTTTTTATAAAAAAAGTAACCATTAAGTAAAGTTTTTGTGATCTAAAGGCTCCTACCAACCTGTCTGTCATGGCAATTTGTTCCAACATGGCCGAACCTGTATTAGCTTTCCAATTACCAGAGATGGACTTTCTCCTGCAAACAAAAAAAAGCAAAATAAGGTTTCCATTTTACCAAGTTTGAGTCTAGTTTTAGTCATTCTTACCCAACAAAATTCTGTTGAATATATCAAAATCTGTATCCTTTGTGCTAAAAACTCTTTAAATATATTGATTTTTATGAAATTTCTGAAAATTTTAAGCAAGTGTTTTTCCCATTAACATGAAGCAGTTTGACATTTTGTCTGTTGATGTTTCCATTGTTTTAGAGCAAACCTATTAAAATTTCATAATTAAAGGGATTGTAAATGTTTTTTTAAAATTTTCTTTCTTGATACACATAAAAAGTGTAGAAAACCTCTTTACAATCCCTTTAAAGGAGAGACATTCAAAATTCAATTTAAAACAACTACTACAATATACCTGATTAAAGAAATGAAAAGAAGATGGTAAACAATAGGGAAACATGAAATAAAAGTATTTTAGCATCAGAACATAAAATTTCTACTACTCTATGTTAATTTCAGTAATGTAGGGTAACAACATAATACACAACATATAAAGATAACACAGAGATGACACATAAAGATGGCGCTTGTGACTGACAAAATGTAAATTTCTTGATGGTTGTTTGATAATTTAATGTATTTGCACTTTTGAAAGTTTACCAAAATGGCGATCACTAGCAACAACTGAAGGTCCAGTGACAGTAATTTCAAAGAGAAAGGATTAGCGTGTAAATCGAATTTTGTCATAGTATTGACAGCTTTGTTCAATGTTTCAATTCAATAAAAACTCTAGATAATGGGGACAGCAGATATGAATGGTGTGTCTAGATCAATTTATTTTGTGGTACATTTGCTTGACAAACATGCACTAGTGAAAAGTGAAAGTGAACTTACATGAATGCTTTATAAACATTGCCAATTTTGGTACAATGGAGGTCATATTTGGAATCAATATAAGGTTCAGTCGTGGAGTAACAACTACTAATGGCAACTACGCCCGCCATGTCTTGAAAATCATAATGGTTGTTAATTTTTACCTGTCATATAGAAAAAGCAACAAAACACATCAAGAAGCAGTCAAAGAACATGCAGAAGTGAAAGAGATCTTCTGATTGGTTGAACTGGCACGTAAAAAGGTCAAGGTCATTTTATTGAAATTTGACATTTTTATTGTCCCCAAAAATCATAGGAAGGACCTCGTAATTTAAGAATTCTAAATACCAAACTTATTTTTTGTTGCTTTGATTCACCAATTTTCTTTAAAAATTTGCACAAAACAATCTGTAACTGCCAATCACAAACATTCAGAAGACTTGGACAAAAAAGAAACATAAAAAATGACAAAATCACAATCCATATTAACAATCTACATAAATCAAAGTATCAAGAATGACACATCTAGTCTTTGATTCATGTTGACGTCTGCCATCACTCACAAATAGCCTTTATAATTATTTCCTATTTTCTGAACATGGATATCATATTTTCCCTCAACGAAGGGCTCTGTTGTAGCATAACCTTGAGTCACAGCAACTATACTTGCAATTTCTTGATAAGTATGTGCTGCATCAATTTTAACCTGATAAATAAAAAATCTCAAATAAAACTGGCAACATAGGATCTTGTTTATTTGTGCTTTTTCAATGTCATGTACTTTCAGTCCAGATTTTATGTATTTTATTTACACTCAGTTTTCAAAGGGTTAACAACATTTACATGGTAGTGAAAGCTCATCAGGTCTTATTTTCTAGCATGATAAATTCTTAAAACGTGGAATTCAGTGGCTTCTTAATCTTGTGGTTCACTTACTTTGTTTTACTTTATATCTATGGGTCAAAGTATACCAACGTTTGAAGGGCCATCGTTCAATCCTGGCATGGGTTGAGATAATACTTTTGGGAATTTTCATCCTAATCTCCCCAGGGATGACATGGAAAAGGCTTCTTGTTGTTGATGTGGGACAAAAAACAGAGGCTGTGTGCTACAGGCTGTACACATTAAAGAATTCCCGACAGAGGGAAATTGAAAATAAAGTTGATGGGCTATTACTGCTGTCCTTTTCCTTCAGTTTTTCCATCCTTAATAATCTGAACAGATCCCGAGAAGAAGATCTTAAGACTTCATTTTTATATTATATAATGTATACCTATTGTCCTGATGGTTGTATTTATATCTAAAACATGTGTCAATTACATAACACATAGCTCTTATCAATAATAAATATCTTGTTAATATTTCAAATATAAATACATTACCTTTCCAAGTCCAGAATGAGCATGTCCTATTTTTACAACTACAGGGAATTTAGGAGTGATGAGCTGAAATAACAGAATCATATTTAGGAAATACAGACCTACTCTCCGACCAAACAAGCTCAGAATCAAATTTTTCTCTTATTTCACAAATATTCAATATAAAATTCCATTCCATTTGTCTTAAAATGTTTTCAGTTTCATAGAAATATAAGATTTGATAAAATAATATTTGTAATAAATACGCTTCCCTCAAACAAAATACCTATGAAAATGACCCCCCATTTGGGACTGAAAATGATTTTTTCATTGGTGGAGATTTTCATAAACCTGGGGTCTACTATTTGTATTTGGGAGATGAAATTTCAAAAATAATTAGCAAAAAATGTGATTCTGTAAAAATTGTGGTCGAACAACATGGCTAACAGTAATGATAATGTTTATATTGATACATTGCCACATGACTATCCTATATCACACACATATACACTGCAATCACAAATGACAATGCCATTTATACAGTGGACAATTAATTGACTCTCTATGATATAACCTAGTATGTTTATAATATAGTTCATATTTATCAGTGCATTATATTCCTAGTTTACTGAATAATATATTGTTATTGATTTTCAGCAGTACTGAATCTGTGTGATAAGAGTAACACATGACTGAATCCTGTGTCGGTGTGTTACCTGTAACTTGTGACAATATTGGGTTGAAGCCATGCTAGGTCAATGTGCAATACCAGATCACCACATGTAATGCAGGAATATAATCAGTGTTAAAACAGGACTGTTTACAGTATATCTTGACAAACAAGCACACAAAATCACACATTTTACCAAATTTTGCAATTCAGCTCATAAAAAACCAAAATAAAAGCCCTTACACTCATAGACAATTTTATTCAAAATTGAATCGCCAGAAATATTCTGGAAAATTAAATTCAACCATTTTACAGTCCTGCAGCAAAATTGTGCCCAGCAGAATTGTTTATATGGACACTTATTCTTGAACGTTGGCCAGTCATAACTCAACAGAAACTCAGATTTTCTAGGAATATCAGAATATGACAAATTAAAACATCTTTAAAATCATAAACACAACATAAAAATAATTGTTGAACATAAAAGGTGGCGATAATAGAGATTTCGAATCAAAAATGGATCTAGACCAAAAAAATGCAATAAATTATTTCTATGCATTCCATTCTTTAAGTAGCATAATTCAAATTTTAATCTTTTATCCAACTAGAATCATTCCTGTTATTATCTTAGTTCTCTTCAACCAGAACTTTCTATCAATTTATTATATTATATACTCATTTCTTTTTCTTACGCTTGAAAGACCTCTTTGAGTTTGTGAAACATTTTCCATTTATAAATTAAAGTTGATAAAATATGACGGAGGGGAAAAATCTTATTAACTGAGGCTTTTATGTAGAAAAAAAAAACAGTACTTAGTCGAAAAATCACATTAACTTTTTCAAAAAAATGTTGATTTCTAAATGAATAGAATTTTATGTCCTCCTTTTCTGTGATATCTTTGAAAGCATTCAAAATATAAGCACTATGCTTATGATAAATTATCTTCAATTATTGAAGTTTATAAGAAACCAAAGTCAATTTGCCCATGTTCTTTCAATGATATAGGATGATTTCGTTATGCCCACTTTCAGAATGAACATCATTATTAAATCAAATGTCAATGATGGTGTTTTAAAACTAAAATATTTATGACTATTAAAGGATAATGATAAAAATTCAGTAAAGACTATGAAAAAGGATGGCCAACTACAACAAGTTCTGTACAACATTCAAGAATAAGTGAACATACAACAATACTAGAGAGGGGTGCACATAAAACAATTACTGAGAAAGGTTATTCTAACGTTAATTCCATATGCTTTTTTTCCTTCTTTTCCCTTCCGTACATGTTAGGGTAAAATATTTGTCAAAATGTCAAACCCAAAATATGGCTACATTAAGGGATTTGTAACACCTATGGAAAGCTGAAATCAAAGGATTTGTTACACCTATTGAAGGCTAACATAAAGGGATTTGTAACATCTATGGAAGGCTGGAATCAAGGGATAATCAAGGGATTTGTAACATCTATGGAAGGTTGGCATTGTGGGATTTGTAACACACAGGGAAGGCTAGAATTGGGGGATTTGTAACACTAATGGAAGGCTAAAATGGAGGGATTGTAATGGAAGGATTTGTAACACGGAAGGAAGGCTAGAATCAAGGGATTTGTAACATCTAGGGAAGGTTGGCATTGTGGGATTTGTAACACCCAAGGAAGGCTAGAATTGGGGGATTTGTAACACTAATGGAAGGCTAAAATGGAGGGATTGTAACGGAAGGATTTGTAACACCGAGGGAAGGCTGGAATCAAGGGATTTGTAACCTCTATGGAAGGCTGGAATCAAGGGAATTATAACATCTACGGAAGGTTGGCATTGTTGGATGTGTAACACCTATAAAAGGTTGGAATTGTGGGATTTGTAACACCTATGGAAGGCTGGAATAGCAGGATTTGTAACACCAAAGGAAGGCTGGAGTCAAAATATCTGTAGCAACTATAGAAGGCTGGAATCAAAAGGTTCGGTAACATGTATGCATGGCTGGAATCAAGGGATTTGTAACACCTAAGGAAGGTTGGAATTGTGGGATTTGTAACAGCTATAGAAAGTCGGCATTGTGGGATTTGCAACAGCTATGGAAGGTTAGCATTTTGGGATGTGTAACACCTATGGAAGGCTGGAATCAAAGGAATTGTAACACCTATGGAAGGCTGGAATCAAAGGATTTGCAACAGCTATGGAAGGTTAGCATTTTGGGATTTGTGACACCTTGAAGACTGGAATCAAAGGAATTGTAATACCTATGGAGGGATAGAATTGAAGGATTTGTAACATCTATGGAAGGTTGGAATCAAGAGATTACACAAATGGAAGACAGGAATCTATGACCATTTAATGCAGTAAAAAAATGGAATTATTCAAAGCATTGCCTTTTATCTTTCATATCAATAAAATCAAATGGTAAACAAGATTACTTTCTTTAATTAAAAAACAAACATCCATAAAATTGTATTCTTTGTTATTGTGAATTAAAATGATTCTATCATTGAGAAAATCAATTGATCAATCATCATTATTGATTTGCATCTGGTGAAGAATATTTAAGTTTCTATCTCATAAGAGAGCATCATTTAGATCTTAGAATATCACCAAGAGTCTATGATATTATTTACAGCTTCCCAAGCCAATCTTTTGAATATTGGAATATGATTTAAGGCTTTCAATATCATATAGACCTTTTAGAAGTGTTAACATTCTTTATTAATGGGTTAGACATTATTTTTAGAAAAAATCTTAAACAAAAAGTAGGGATAGGAAGCTAAATTAGAAAATTGGTATTATTTTTTTTACTTTGAGACCAACATTGAACAAGCATGGGAAACTTTGAAACACTTGGACTAAAGGCTTGTTTAAAATGTACAAAATATAAAAACAATATTTTATGACATCAATTAATAGTAAAATCTGAATTTCTATTGAGTTAATAGTTGCCATGGTTACAAGAAAAAGAGAAGATTGAAACTCACCCATAGATTACTCACCATTTCCTTGTGGTTGGGGTAGTAGGCTTGTTCTATCAGTGGGAAGTTTGCTGCTCCCAGTTTACGTTGAATTTGTATCAGATGTGAAAACTATAAAGATAAAATGATAGAATTTGAAGCTACCAAACTATTCATAGGCCAAGGTATTTTCATAATGATGTTTTGAGTTTTTTAGCCTTTTGCCTAATGTTTCTGTATCACTGCTTAAACAAACTAAGAAGGCAGTTTCCATGGATAACTAATTTAAACATCAAGCCCGCAGAGCAATAATTATTGCATGCACATCAAATTGTTTGTTACATCATTTATACATAAAAAAACATCAAAGGAAATTTTTAATATCATGTTATAGCTAACTTACTGTTCCTTGATTCAAATCCAACATCAAGTGTATTATAGTTTTATAACCTAATATTAGGCTACATAATAAATCTATATATCATCCCTTACTAACCTGTCTTGATGGAACATTTTTTCAGCAGTTAAGAGTACAATATGATACTTACAACCCAGGGTTTGTCTAGAAAATTAAATATAGCAGTAACAGAATTAATACAGGGTACACCACCATATTTAAAACCTAATAATAAATTTCTCCAGTCTTCGTGAGCATCCTTTACATGTTGTCTGATGAGAAGAAAATCAGGTTTAAATGATCTGAAATGATATAAACCAGACACCAAAATCAATCTTCATATATTTGACTTCTGAAAACATTTATTATTGTGTCAAATGAAATGGAAGATGAAAGTCCTCTGGCTAATTGATGATGGCTTACATCTCCAGTGGCCTTATTCTCGAAAATCTAACTATCAAAACCATATTTTTTAGAAATTTTCATAAATCTGATCAGATAATTAAACTGAATTTTAAATTTCTTTGAGTTAGTTTTGACCAATCAGATGAATGGAACAGTCACATCATTTAAAGTTAAGTTTGGTATTCTGTCTAGGTCATGACTATACGTAGAATCGATACAACTGGTAATTTCAAGAATAATGTCCATGGAGCCAAAAACAGCAGCAGAAAATCCTGAAACACTAATCCATCATGGCTGAATCAAAACAATTTGACACTCCTGATGCAGCTAGGTCATCTGAAGTTTTAATAGCTACACTACTTACCGGACAACTTTGGTACCATTTCTGTTAACTTGTATATCTACCATAGTACCAGAATCTGTATAGGCAGCAAGGTTAATTTCACTAAATTCAGCCTACAAAATAAAATAAACACTCACAAAAGGAATAAAAGATGAAGTTATTAAAAATTGATTTCCAAGGTAACAAGGTCACTTTCTTCAATCAAGAAAATCAACATAAAATTATGAATAAACTATTAATTTATTTTTCAATAAAGATTTCAATTCCTTTCTTGATGAAAGAAAATGAATGATGAAATAAACAATATTAGCTATGTGAAGTCATCAAAAGGGAAGCAGATATTAGAAAAGTTTTTATATTTTACGCATCTTTTGATCTAAGGACAAATCAAGACAAAAAGATCTAAAATAACCAATAAGAAGAAGAATTTGGATTTTCTTCCTGGAACTAACAGATGATGAAGCATAAAAAATTCTTTTAAACAGATAATATAGGCAAGGACTATGTCATTTTCAATAAGAGAACTTCTGTCACGAATTTTAAAACCTAATAAAAAACCTAAATACGAATTATTTGAATTACAAAACCAAATTCAAGGTCAAATATTTAGAAATGAAAAGTGGTATCAGGTGTGTTAGAGAGTATACATATACCCTGCCTAACACCACACCTGTCGTCGTTATACTGTTGTCATGACAACATGAAACATAATATACATCTAAATTCCTTACCTGTTCAATTCGTACATCCCAATCACCAAATATTTTTTTACCTCGAAAGTATTTTGACCTGCAAAATGAAATTACAATGAATATTTATACAAACAATTCAAAAATAAGGTCCATCATCATTGTTGATGTCACTAAGTTGTTACACACTTCTTTCTGTCAGGTTAACAGCTCATTGATGTAAATTGGAAACTGGTTTCATTTCAAGAGGTATCACATAGCATTTGAGATTCAACATGACCACTTTTGTTATTCAATATTTCCAATGATAAATCAAAAATTTATTACGGCAATTTTCTAATTAAATCAAATTGTATATTTTTCATGTGTTTTTTTGGGTCAAATCTACAACCGGAACTAACAAAATTAGCAAGATTTTATGAAGGTTTACTACTGCAACATTTGAAATTGTTACCAAATTTTTCAGAAATGCGGATTGAAATTTATCTTGATTAGCAAAAACTAAATATTGGTGTGATAAATTGCTTATCTAAGTTTAACCCTGATTGGAAATTATTGTATCTTTCAGGGATTTCTTTTTAAGATTTAAGGTACTTCTTTGTTGCAATGGTAAGTTATGTTTGTAATAGTGAGAAGATCAACACAGTTCCAACTTCTGACAGCACTGATCCTGGTATTAGAACTGTTCCTTGTTTTTTTTGGATTGGACCTTTAATTTACCATTCATTTAATTGAGCTTTCAGCTTTTAAGTGTGTACCCTAAACCAGTAGTCTATCATTGCCCAAAGGTGATCGACTATTTGTGATCATACAGATAGCCAGGCAGTGGCAGTGCCAATGAGGGTACCCCAGTTCCTGGAGGCTGGGGACGTCATATGTCAGAGTAACATGATGTCACCTTGTTATACAGAGGCACTGTGACCAAAGTAAATCAAATAAAATCTATCAGAGAACCCAACTTAATGTTAAGAAGAAGATATTATCTAAGAAGATAAAGCTATTTATAAATGATTATTGATTGAGTCTTGAAGCAATGTTAAAATATTATGGGGGAGGATAATATGATCTTTAAAATCAATGCAAATACAGTATATATATATTATATATTAACTTCTTAAGATATATAGATAATGTTGTCTGAAGATTAAAACAGCTTGAAACTCTGAGTTACAACATGTTTCAAGTTATGTTATAATATTTTTAGATCTTCATTTACATTGTTTCGTTGCATGTACATCATTTTTCGGGTTCATCAATTTTCATGTACATCATTTTGCATTTTCACCACTTTTCATTTTTTTTAATTACTTTTCATTTTCATCACTTTTCATGTTCATCACTTTTCATGTTCATCACCATTCATGTACATCACTTTTCATATTCATCATTTTTCATGTTCATCACTTTTCATTTTCATTACTTTTCATTTTCATAACTGTAATTTTCTTTTTAATCACTTTTCATTTTCAATACTCTGCGTCCTCAAATGTATACCATATAAATTTGGAAAAGATTTTTTCTCTCTTTAACATAACCTTTCAATTTAGAATTGTAAACAGCTAATTAACAAATTATTAATCAACCCCTCTTACTATGAATATAAAATCCAACATTAGTCTGGTTCAAAAATAGATATAAAATGATTTAAACATTAGGGGAAAGTTGTACAGCACACTTGGCAGTCACAATAATTCTACAATAAACATATTCTCAAACACAGACCCTTATCTCATATGATGGTTAATGATGAAAAAATAGTAAGGAGCTAGGAGAAACCCTACAAAATTATTAAATGCCCAAACATACAACTGTAGATAAACAAATCAAGAATGTTTTCCAAAGATTTTAATAATGTCAAGTAAAAAGGTGGAAAGTGGAAGTGGAAGTATGGGACGATAATTCAAGTCCAATTCACATGTTTTTACCTTTATATCAGAGGACTGAGCTGAAATGAAACTAATTGAACTATATAAGAAACCTGTTTGATAACATTTATTGTCATAATTAATAAATCAAATGTCTTTAATTGTTTATATAATAAATCAATATTAACAAATTGATTCAGTCAACATAGATATTTTACACTAGAGACCTATTATATCTCATCATTTTCAACACAAATATTCAGCTTAAAGATGGCTTTCTATATATTTCATAATATAAATATTTTGCCAATGATGGATTCAAATTCTCAATTTTATTTCGTATCCCCCAAGTAAAATTGCCTTTGTCTTCAAATAATGAAAATGCTACAGTTGTTTTCTCCAACTTTGAATGTATGTGAAATTATGATTGCAATCACTTTGTGCAGGAACACGAACAGTCTTGGTTGTTGATTTTTGTCGCTGACTCTAATCTTCAGTAAAATCTCACATGTGCCTGCACTTCCACGACAAGATCATTGCAATGCCAACATAATTTATGATATCAAACCAGCTTGATATTTGTTGCCCATTGTTTTATTTTCTGCAAGACTGAGTATCATCATCCAATCAAATACATTTTCTTTAAAATTGCATGATCTGCACTTGATATCAACATAGTGGACTGACTCGTGTGCCCGCACCCAGTTGGTGAAACTCTTAACAAGACTGTAGTCCATGTCAAATATCAGAAACCAAGACTGTTCATGAACCCACACCTAATCTTTATCAAAATTAATATTAAAACCCTATTATTCACTGATTTTAAAACTAAACCAAATTTGCAATTTTATCAATATTCCAATTTTCAGTCCACTAAAAATTTAGGTGCAAATCGATGCTATCAGTATCTCTTATACACATAAAATTACAATCCCTTTAACGTTCAGAAATCAGTTTACTTAACATTTAATTTTCCTCTTATTATTCTGACAGCATCAACCTACAGCAAAATGGAAGGACTATCATTTCTGTCATAGATATTAGAGGCCATTTACTATTTTATTCTAAATCTTATTTAAAAATTAATCTATATTGACATTTTATAATCTTGGAATTAAAAATAGAACTGCCTGAGAGTATCACTGACACAGTATGGAATTTCAGAATCAGATTTTTAACACAATCTTCTCTACAGGGTTACTTTGAATGTTTATAGTTGAATGTCTTTACGTCATCAGTCATAAATGATGGATTATTATTGAATTTTAAGGGTACAAAAGTTTATAGATCTGTTAGCTTCATGATTCAACAGTGTAGAACACCCCTATCTCTCCCCCCACCAAAACACATATAAAAAATCAAATGGACTGCATCTTGAACGTTTTCATTGTTAAATACTTTCATCTAACTAGCTATGTTATAAAAACTTTTAGCTAATAAAAGATAAACATTTCTTTTAAAATATAAAAATATGTCAACCTGATTATAAATGAGACAAAGATTGAAAACATGTTAAATTTCTTTCCCTACCTAAGAAATATGTAGAATGAAATAAACCTTGAAAGATTTATTGAAGACTTTGTTTGAACTTTTTTGTAAACATCAAACAAACGTTCAAGAAGCGTTTAAAATCGATTAATTTATCAAATACCAGAGATCACATTATTCAAATAAATAAAATTATATCCAATTATCAACACTGGTGTTCAATGTTTTTATAAATTTTGTAAGTGTATCTGTGACACTGCTATCTTTGATTTGCACCATTTCTATTTTCAGTCTGTTGATCTTGCAATTCCATGAAAACTAAAGGCCATTGTTTCATGGGGGTTTTCATGCTGAGAAACCCTATATAGCATTTCATAAGGGTCAGTGTGTTTTTAAAAAATAAGCTTATCTGCTATTCTGCTTGGCATTTGCCAATGTAATCCCAATCAAATGTCATGTGAGAATATTTAAGAAAACTTATCCTTATATGAAAATAGTTGCCCCAACAAGTGGTGATATTTGTCAGGTTTTCAGGTTGACAAAGTTTACTGTAGACATAAAGTGCTTTGACTTCAATGTCACTTGTCTGATTTGCCCGCCTTGTTGTGTTCCTCTCTAGCAAGAGTGTCTCCACCATTGCTCATGTGGACATAGTACAACGTGTATTAATGGCGTAATCTGACACGTTTACTCAGTGTTAAAATGCCCATGAAAACGAGTATGTAGACACAGGCCTTAAGAGTTTAATGACATAGCTATCTCAAAGGCCCTTAGAAATTATAAACAGCTTTTTACAAATTGATTATGTTTAATATGGTAAAGCATGTCTATAATTACAGGAACCTAAGATATCTGACAGAAAATTGGAATGATGCAAATAAAAGTCAATCTTTACTATGTCATATGAATTATGTCACATAAAACATTAATAACTAATGATTTCAATGAATTTAATCTACCGTAACTGAATATTTGATTGCATAGTTCACAGTTTTTTAAGCTAGAAAGGGATTTTCAAACTAGGTCTGCACAGTAACAAAAATTTTGCTAATGGACAGTTATAATTTTTCAATTTTCGACTCTTCAACTATGAAGTCAAATAAAGTAATAAAAAACATAACTTACCAGTCTGTATGATGATCATCAATAACTAATAATATTTTACACCGATCTTTATTATACGCAGGTTTATTGGTTCCTGATGATGAAAAAAATCCCCTGGCTAGATTAGCTGGAGTAGGGGTCTTGGAAGGCGAACTTGGTGCACTAGGAGATGGTCCTTTCTTTAAAGGTATAGCATTTAATATATCCTCATCTCTTAACTCCCCTTGAAGATCACCAGAACTGAACCTTCTCCTCAGGAAATTGACTCCTGAGGAGAAGTTATCTTTAAAGTTTGAGAAAGAAATTTTGGCGAATGGTGAGTAACACTGAGCAGAAATCTTGTTGATGTGGTGAAGGTGATGATTTGGTGATTGTTGATCTATTTACATCTAGAATCTTCCCATATCTCATTAAACTCCTGAAAAGAGTAAAAAATTCCAAAAATGAACGTTGACCTTTTTTTAAATTCAAATTGTTTCTAAGAATTTTCTTATAAGGATGTACTTTCAGAAGAGTATTTAATTCCTAGAGTATCCATGTTTTTGGTATATTTATTACAAACAAATAAGCCGGTAGACAAGATTGTTCCGAAGGTCATCCTGTAATCCATCAGATTTTTCAACTGAAACTTTCCCTGAATTTTATCTTAGGAAGAGAGATAACAGAATCTTCCAGAACACCTTTTGCTGGTGATTGGTTTGTTATTGCAACAGTTATTTCTGAGAGTCCACATAATTAATACAATGCATCTTGTGTATATGTGTTATAAATTCAAATAGGTGTTTTATCATTGTTATAAGAAACCTAAAATGAAAACAACACATAGAATCACAAACACTTTGTCAGTGTATAAAAACCAATCTTGAAATATTCACATTCAGAAAAAAATACAACCTCAGCTGCACTTAAACTATATTCTGAAGTAATATTATTTTTAAGTCAAAGAGCAGTAAACATTCTGAATAAAAATTTGCAACAAGCACACTTAGTTACCTCTACAAATATCAGAAATCATTTCTTAATTCTGCCATAGAATATTTCAAGCATTTAAATTCCTTTTTTAAAAAAAAACAGCACAAACTATACATTCTGATGCAACAATAAATAAAAGCTTTTAGACATTAAACAATGCAGAAATATCTCTATGATTTAGGTGATTAATAATTCATGTAAGATTTACAAATAATATAGATCTGTATAAACCTAATCAATATACAGTCACTCTGATTCCCTATACAGAGTATATAATTATCTATTAGAGACATATGGTCATTTAATATACCACAGCAATTATTGCTTTAATTAATGCCTAGTCAATTTTGTTATTGTGAAATCATGTTTGTTATTTCTCACAGCAATTATTTATAAAATCTGTTTTAAAGCTGATAGATTTTAACCCCTAAACTTCTAATATTGGTTGAGAAAATTTATATTTTGGGGTATCTTTTATGAAGTGTATCTGGATCAAAAGGAAATGGGGTATCATTGAATCAAATCTAATAACATGCGATAATGACTTGTTACTAGTGTTGTCTGGATATATTGGTGAATTGATGTATCACTATACAACATGAAACAATATGCATATTGTATCACTAGGTCATGTAATACTTGACGATTCTTCTCATTCCAAAAAGATTGGATTTTATTAAAGTCAATGAATGGAATCACAAATTTTTGTCACTGACTTATAGGACTGATAAATACCGGTATAGTAATTTATATTGTTAATAATATCACCTGATTAAAAAATATTGGAATATTGCCATATCGTGATATATGGGAGTTATCATGACATATCTTCAAATTTTTGTCCAGATTGGATCATTTACACAATTTTAACAAGTAACTTTATATTTGAAACAGATGTATTTTTCATGATATTCAAGACTGGGGTGTTAATATTCATTGTTTTTTTTATTAAATTTAAAATATATATATAGAAAAAAAAGATCATTTTGTTTCAAAGGCCAGTAAAAACCATACTTAAGAAATATCGCGATATATACCCATATTGTGATATATTAATGCTTTATATTGTGATATCCACTTGAACCAATATCGCCCAGCCCTACTGACTTGACTGAAATTGTTTGTGACTATTTACAAGACCATGGATGTTAATAACTTCTTTAAACTTCATTACCAAATATCACAGTTATACAATTAATATATATTGAAACTTTGAAAATAAAATGTTAAATTCTATTCCAATACCCCATATTACAGACATATCATATCATGACCCTTATATCATGATACATATCTTATCGTATTGTATGGCATGATGGTGATACCTTTTAACTTATGTTTCCTTTTTATTTATCATGGCAGTTTCACAGGTAAAATGTGAACATTGCACTTAATGGGTTATAATCGCAAACTGTTTCAGATGAGCGCTTGTAACTCATTTTGACCTAAGGTCATGGTGACCCTGAGTCTTGTTTTTCTTAGTAGAAAGTCTGCTCTTTTTTCTTGCTCCACATACTCAATTTGTGGAATCTTAAAAACTTAATTTGATGATTTAAAACTTCAAGATCATTTTATTCCTCAGTCTGAATGATGGTCTATTTTTACCTCCACTTGTGAAGATCAATTCATTCAATGAAATGAAATAATACATTCGGATCTCAGACAATCTTGATTGGAGGCTTTTAATGTCAAAAGAAGATCACGTTTCTTTCAGCTAATTAAATAGATTGTAAAGAGTTCTTTAATGGAGGACACTTCTAGATTCAATAAGCATCAATTTTGATGTCACATGGGATATATTCTTCCTGTGATTTCAATAAAATGTACAAGACATGAATTGTGTCTCCTAACATCCAACAGACCACAATATCTTTACATTGATTTAACCTATCCTCAAACTAGATTCTGATTTCAGTTTTACAATTATTTCATTCACAAGACCCTTTTAATAACAAATTCACAAGTCCACTATAATAACAAATTCATAAGACCCTTTTAATAACAAATTCATAAGACCCTCTTAATACCTAATTTACAAGACCCCTTAAATAACAAATTCATAATACCGTATATATAATAAATTCACATGACTATTTAAATAACAAATTCACAAAACACAAGATCCTTTTAATAACAAATTCACAAGACCACTATAATAACAAATTCATAAGACCCTTTTAATAACAAATTCACAAGACCACTAGAATAACAAATTCATAAGAACATTTTAATAACAAATTCACAAAACACAAGATCCTTTTAATAACAAATTCACAAGGCCACTATAATAACAAATTCACAAGAACATTTTAATAACAAATTCACAAAACACAAGATCATTTTAATAACAAATTCACAAGGCCACTATAATAACAAATTCACAAAAACATATTAATAACAAATTCACAAAACTTCATTTTTTCGACATTTTTTAAATACACACTCCACAATTAACACAGTTGTATTAGAAATTCAAATTAAACATCCAATATTTACACATGTACAAGTACATCATCCTTCAAGAGAAAGCTGATAGGACTACCTCCTTTAAAGGGACAGATTCACCGTCCATTTGACCAATTGTATCTGTCTCAGAAACAGGAATTTTTTAGCTAAGCTAATCAGCAATAGTGTTCACAGCTCAACGTCAAAGTTTGAGCATTCAAATTCAGAATTATCCGTGCATTAAAATGAAGACCTGTCTCTTCTTGAGACTCTACCATATGTAGAAAAGACATATAAAGAAATAGAAAGTGAACTTTCTAGTTTAAAGTATATTTGAAGGGATTATGCAATTTTCATGCAGTTCTAGTACTTTACAAGATTATTTACATGTATTCAATACCAAAATCAACCTCTTAAAATGACAAAATCATGGCCTTTAAGTAAAAATCATGTTCATCAGACAGTAGGATAAAGAGTAAACATATTCTACCATATATAGACATCATGTGACAGGGGAAATGGTAGAAAATGAACTCAGGAGATTTTCTCTCTAATTAATGGAAATGAATTAACAAGATGTCTACAGAATCAATAAAATCTTCACACATCTTTTGTTAATACCAATCACTGTTAGACTTATAGAGAGAAAACAGTCTACCCACTATCCGCTGGGAAATTGATGACATCTTTAAAATAAGTATTATTGTAAATAATAAATTTTGTGGTCTATTTGTTCCAGAGAAGGGGCACAGCAAATCACACATGTTTTTGATGCTTTGGTTTCATCAATTGTTTATTTTGGTTTCCCATTCTCCTCCTTTTTCTTTATTGGTATAGTGTTTGGTTTTTCATAAAGTTTTGGTTTTTTGGTAAAATTTTGGGGTTAAGCCCTATCACAAGTTGATAGTGGGTTTTAAATTTAATTATTACTTGTAATTATAGTGAAGTAGTTTTATATTATATGACATTATTTTTGTGTTAGTATTATATGAGGAAGAGGGGACACAAAGATGATTCTAGTAAATTCAAATATTATTTCATATCCTTAGTCAAAATATCTGGTGTCAACAAACATCACTAGCAATCAAGCAAGTAAAATAGTCAATTCCCATTATGAGAGTGTACAAAAGAAATTCTCCCATTTTTATAAACAAAAGATGATTGTGGCATATTAAAAAAACCAGAACTTTAATAACAACCTGGTTTATAGCAAACTAGAACCCATTAAGATGTAACCATCTGACCTCTCAACCATTGGGCAGGTTATATTTGATCTAATTTCAGATCAAAACAGAGGTAAATACCCAGAATTTCCTGACCATTAATTCCATTTTCTTAATGAAGTATTTGTTCCATTCTAGGCCTGTACATTTGGGAGAATCAAACCCTCTCTACCTCGAAATCTTATGGATCATGTAACACTTAATACAACAGACCAATACTCCTCTCAATAAATTTTGATTGGCCATGGATATTTTAGGATATGGGGTATCTGAACATTTGATTCTTGTCAGCTTAGAGATTCGATGTTGATGTTGAATGACATGCAGTAGAACATGATAAACACAAAGTTGTTGAACATGATAAACACAAGCTGATGAACATCATAGACACATGTTGATGAACATCATAGACACATGTTGATGAACATCATAGACACAAGTTGATGAACATCATAGACACAATCTGATGAACATCATAGACACATGTTGATGAATATCATAGACATAAGTTGATGAATATCATAGACACAATCTGATGAACATCATAGACACATGTTGATGAATATCATATGGATGGATATCATAAACATAAGTTGATGAACACAATGAACAAGAGTCCTGAAGTGTAAGAGATTCTATCATGTCCCAAGTAAATTGCTGTATTT